ATTAAATATATAATATATTAAAAAGTTTTATTTATTTTTAATTAATATTTATTAAATAATACAACATTTATTTATTACTTAAAATTATATTTAAACGGGTTATGTAATGGATTATTTTTATATTAATTAAGTTATTATTTTTTTTATTTATAAAGATTTTTAAATATATATTATAATTTAAAACGTTATAAAATTCTTTTATTATAAATTGTATATTAAAACTTAAATAACATAAAATATAATAATTAAATGTAATAAAGTTTATTATAAAAATAAGGTAAATATGAGGTAATTTCCGGATAAGTTTAATTAATTTTGGTTAATTTATTAACGGATGTAAAAATAATAATAATAATGATTTTAAACGTTTTTTTAACGTTATAAAATTTTTAATAAATATATATAAATATTCTTTTTTAAATATAACATTATTAACGTTAATAACTTTATTAAAATCTATTAATAATATTTTATAAATATATATATTATTACTTTTATATTTTAACATTTTACATATTATAGTTTTATTTTAAAATATATTTAACTTTTGATTTTTTAAATAATAATTATTAGTTTTAATTATGATTAAATAAATTAAATTTAAAAAATTATTATATTAAACTTTATAAAAGGTTTTATTCAAAGCGTTATAAGGTAATTTATTCATTAAATATATTGTTATTTACATAATAATAAGTTAATATTTATTAAATATATCATTATTACATATTTATATTAACATTATTTTAATTTTATTTTTTAACTTATTTATAATATTTTTAATAAAGTTTTTAAATTATAATTGTTTTATAATTATATATTAAATAATTATACCTTTTTATTAACAGTATTGTTTAAATTTATTGTTTATATATATACTTAAAATATTTAAAATAATAATATAATAATAACGTTTAAGTTTTTTTTATTATTTTAAAAAATCTTTAAATGTTAATAATTAATTTTTAAAGTTTTTTAATGGTATAATTTATATTATATATAAATAATTATATATAATAATTAATTAATCTTTATTATTATTAACGTTTATAATGTTTATAAATATGTTTATTTTATTTAAATATAATGATTTTAATTTATAAATATTTTATTTTAATATATTTGTATAAAGCTTTTTATTTATTTTATTTTTTATATAAATTTTACAAAAATAATGTTTTTTTAAAGGTTTAATGTTTGTAAATATATTTATTAATTTTTTAAAATTTTAATTACTTAAATAGTTTAATTTTTTATGTTATATTTTTAAAGTTAAATTAAAAATAAAGTAAAAGTAAAAAGTTATATTAAAACTTATTATATTAAAATTATTATTTTTTTAATTAATTATATATAAACTATTTATTTTAATTATTATTAAAAATACTTTTTTACTTTTAACGTTATATGTTAAATTTTATTAAAATAAAAATTTAACATTTTTTTAAATAAATTATAAAACTAAAATAAAGTTGTAAATAAAATTAAAGTAATAAATTACGTTTGTAATTTTAACTTTTTCGAATTATTTATTAATAATAATTTAAAAAGTAACGGTATTTTATAATTTAAATATAATAGTTTTTTTATTAATGTTATAAATATAAAAGTTTTTTTATAAACGTAAATTTATAAATAAAGTTTTGTTGTAATAGTTTATTTAATTATAATTATTATTAATTATTATAACTTTTTTTAATTTAATAATTAGTTTTTTTGTTTTAAATTTAATTATTATTATAAATTTTATTATTATTAAAATATTATTAATTAATAAGTTTATAAAAATAAAATTTAATATTAAAATAATTGTAAAATTGGTAAATTTTAACGATATATTTTATACTTTTATTATAAGTATATTTTGTTATGGTTTTTTAAGTAAATAATTTTAAAAGATTTTCAATAAAATATTTGGTTTTAAAAGGTTAATTAACGGTTTAATTGGTAATTTTTTAAACGTTATAAACGTAATGGTGGTAATAAAAACTATTAATATGTTAGTATTATTTTGGTAAAATAATGTAATAATTACGCCGTTATTTTTATTAGTTTTTAATTTTTTAAGTTTGTTTTTAAATTTATTACGTTAATTTTTAAAAGTATTTTATTAAATTATAACTTATTGTTTAACGTTTTATAATTATATAATAAATGTATATAAAATTATTTTTATATTTATTATTAAATTTATTAAATGTTATAATTAAAATAATAACGTTATTAATTATAAACATATAATTAAAGTTTATATATTTAACACATTTTCCAAGTAATTATTATTTAAGTAAATAATAAAAATTATTTAAATCGTAACATTTTAACATTTTTAAAGCTTTTTATAACATTAACTTATTTTAACTTTCGGTTTTTTAAAGTTTAATATCGTAAAAAGTATATTATTAATTATTAATTAAACGTATTTTTATTTATAACGTAATAGCTTTAATTAATTTTAATTTCGGAATTTAAACCTTTAATTTATTTAACGTAATATTATATAATATTTTTAATTTAATTTAAACTTGCGTTTTATTATTAAATTTAATTTAGTTTTAAAACTTGGTTTAAAATTAACGTAAAGTTACATTTATATAAAAAATGCAATGTAATATTATTACGTTAAAAGGTTTATAACTGTTATAATTAAAATGGTAACGCCGTTAATTATAAACATGTAACCAAAGCTTATATGTTTAACATTAAAGTAATTAACGAAAATATATTTAATATTTTTATTTTTAATCTTTTACGTTTATTTTTTTTATTATATTAATTTAATAATGTTATTTATAATAATTATAATTTTAATAATTTAATTATTATTATTTTAAGTTAAAATAATGTTATAATTTTAAAAAAATGTAATAAAAAACGTGTTATATTTTAAGTTTAAAATATTAAAAAATTTATTAATTAAATATGGTTTATTAATGGTATAAGTTTCGTTTAATTTTTTAAAATTAAATTAAATTTAATATAATTTTAATAATAACGTAATTATAAAACTTTTAATATTAAATAATATAATATTTTATTTAAACGTTAAGTTTTAAAATATAACGTTATTTTATAATTTATACTTTTTTTTTAAAATTTTCCAAATTTTAATTATAATTATTTTACTTGTTATTATATTTTTAAAATTTTCCTTTAAATAATATTTAATATAATTATAAATTTTATTTTATTTATTTTATTAAACTTTAATTTTTTTACGTAATTTAATTAATGTAAAGTTTTAATTTTTTTTTAAAGTTATTTTGTTTATTCCTTTTAAAAACATCTTTTTATAACTTTAAATTATTAAATAATTTAATATTTTTTGTTTAAACGTTAATTATTTATTTGTTAAATTTAATTAAATAATATTATTTAAAATTAAATTGTTTTTTTTTTATTTTTATAATTATTGTTAATAAATTAAAGGTTATTTTTTAATAATATAATAAACTTTATAAATTTTACTTTATAAACTTATTTTATTATAAAATAATTTTTTAAGTAATAACTTAAAAAACTTACAAATAAAACCAAGATTTATTTAAAATAATTAATTTATTTTTTGTTTAATAATTTAAAAGTAATTATTTTTAATATAATTTTAAATTTTTTTAGTAAATTAAATAAAATAATAACTTTAAAGTTAAAATAATTAACGTTTAAATTTAATAATACAAATATAAAAAATATTTTACTTAAATTTGGTAAATATAATTTAATAAGTATAAAATTAAATATATAATTTATATTTTTAAAATAAATATTTTTTAAAAAGTTTTTTTATTATAATCATTTAAATTTTTTAGCAAAATGCGGGAAGTTTTATTTATTTAAATATTTAAAAAATAATGGCTTTTATAATAGCTTTTTTTTAAAATTATACCGTGTTATATTATTTATTTATTAACAATAACAATTAAAATATATTATTAAAATAATATTAACTTTATTTCGTATTTATAATTTTATATTGTTAATTTTAACGTTATATTAAAAGTTTTAATATGATTATAATATATATTTATTAAAGTAAAATAAATTTTAACATTATTATTAATTTATTAAACGTTTTAATTTAAAAATATTTTATAAACGGTTTTATTAATATTAACAATAAAAAAATTATATAAAAAAATTAAAGATTTTTTACTATTATAACTTTAATATTATTAACTTTAATAGTTTATTTTTTTATATATTAAAAAAAGGATTTTAAAAAAATAAAACCGTTTTTTATTTAATTATATAATAAAAATCGTAATAGTTTAAATTAAATGCGTTTAAATGGTATAATAATTATTAAATAATTAAGTAATTGTTTATATAATTTAAATTATAAATTTCCGGATTTATAACTTATTAAAATTAAACGTAAATTATAAAATATATATATATTATATTGTTATATTATTTATTAAAAAGGTTAAATAAGTATATTTATTATATATAAACTACAAATATAAAGCGTATTACCAGCCATTTAATTTATTAACCTTATATATTTTAGCATAATTAACATCCCTTTACACCATATCATTACAATAACATCATTTCCTTTTTAACTTGGAAACTTAATGATTTCCAAATGTATGGGAAAGGTGCAGAAAAGGTAAGTATCCAAGTTAAAAGTAAGGCAGCCAATCATAGAATTTGTTCAAGCAGGTCACTGTAACATTAGGCATTTACACCCTATACCATACCTTTAAGCGATCGAATCGAAATTATTTACAGCTTAGAAAATACTCTTCGTGCGTTGCGATAATATATAGACTAACTATTTCAGATTACAGAAAATACTAATAGAAAGAGAGGTTTGCTACTAATTACTTTATAGTGTTCCTCAAACCCAAAGTCGGGCGATTTATGACGAACTACATCAACAACCAACAAGAAAATATATGCTTGGGCATCTATCAAGAAGACAACATATATTCCATTTTAAGAAATCTAGAAATTTCTTGCTTACGAAGATAGCCCTATCACAGGTAGTCGCAGATACCAATTAATATGCATATAAGATGGCTGTGCTTACACGCAATACATCGACAAATACACCTAGGTCCCTATGCGTATATAGGGCAGCCGTGCATAGGGGCAAGATATATATATTCTTTAAGAGTCGTTGTCGGGTTTCTGAGCCAACCTCTAGCGAAGAATTCCGATACTCAATTAATATTCTATGCCTAGCTCACCATGGACACCGATCAGCTATGTCTTCCTAAAAGATGTTCGGTTTGTGGTGCTAGATCTAACGATCTGTTTACTGCATGGTCCAACCCTAAATCTACGCCTTGTCCCTATCTCTTAGACTGGAGAGTCGATTGGGATGATTTTATTCATAACCCAATTCCTAATTTTGATGTTGGCTGCGTGGTCTGCGCAACAGTTTTATCTATATTGGTTGGGACATATAAGAAGCCCAACTACTCCTACCTTCGCCCCCAGATCACTTCTACTACAATATCAATGGGCGAATGTGAAACGATAATTCTTGACATAGAGGGCCAACAAAGTATCCTAATCAACCCGTTAAGTGAGTGTTTCCGTACCCAATCTTCCTCATAGTTCTCTTTGTTTAGCTAATTTAGGCACTTATCTATCTTAAGAAAATTCACTGTCGAATAGAGAATACGGGTCATGCTACAATTTCCCTACTAGCAAAGGTCCGATTGAAGCTCTAAACCTTGCAAGAAGATGGCTGCATTCATGTAAGACGAGCCATGAGGAATGCGCACTCGCATCAGAACCTTATGTTCCATCCAGACTGCTCGATGTCACCTCCCGGAATCCTAAACTACTATTACGTTGCGAGATACCAAACGATTCGCCCTTTGTTGCCTTGAGCCATTGCTGGGGCGATTCTCAGCCTCTCAAAACAGTTAACAGCAACGTCGACTCGCACAGGAGAGGAATATCCCTCGAAGCTCTCCCGGCAACATTTAAGGATGCAGTTAAGATTACGAAAATACTAGGGTTACGGTTCCTCTGGATAGATAGCCTCTGTATTGTACAAGACGACAAATGGGACTGGGAACAGGAATCAGCCCAGATGGAGAAGATTTACGGTAACGCCGACTTGGTATTGGCCGCTTCTGCTGCATCCTCCGCTCACGATGGCTTCTTACGAGATCGGCCCTGCACCTCCTTAGGTCGTGTTAGCGTCAGAGTAGACTCTAAATCGGCTCCTGTGGATTCTATCTATCGTATAGCTTTTGACCATATCAACCATCGAGACGAGCCTCTGGATTGCCGAGCCTGGGCTTTTCAAGAGAGGCTTATGGCTAGGAGATATCTTTCTTACGGCACCGATGAGATGACGTGGAATTGTCGCAAGCACTCATTATGTGAATGTGGCTGGAATTCTTCTCAACCTTCACACTTTAATAAACTCAACCTTGAGCAAATGTTAGGATTGTTATCCCACTGGGGCCTTACAACTCTTTGGATAAACAGTATCGTTATACCATATACCCGAAGACGACTCACGGTACAATCAGATAAACTTGTGGCCCTCTCAGCGGTGGCTTCTAGGTTTCAGTCCTATTACGGTGGTTCTTACCTTGCAGGTCTCTGGGAAGAAGACCTTATATATGGACTTCTCTGGAAGACCCGAAGCGGAAAGCCGGAAGAGTTTGAGGCTCCTAGCTGGAGCTGGGTTTCTGTTAACAGTGATTGTTTCTCCTACAACATGTGGGCAAAATATAGCACGGCCCTGGCTAAAGTTGGGCGCACTTCAGTGAAATTATCGACAAAAAATATATACGGTCCGGTTTCCGGTGGATCTATTCAACTTCGTGGTAGGGCAGTACAAGCGAAACTTTGTATCGGCGACGCACCTAACAATTGGAATGGACCACTGAGAAGAGCGTGTAAGATTTGTGGGACCCAATGGGCTATTGATTGCTGGTTGGATATGCCACTCGCCCCCTACGGCTCTATATTGAACGATATCACGGAAAGGGCAGACGTTTCTGCCAGGAGAATCTATTTCGTTGAAAAGGATGTCATTCCCAAAGCCCCCGCTACTTATTCGATTTGGATACTTCTGATGGCAGTGAAGGACATGTTCGGTGAATATAATGGATTGATACTTGGTCCCTCGCCGAAACAGCCGGGATGTTTCGAACGCCTTGGGCTTGCTACTTGGCCCTGGGGAGGTTTACCCTGTAAATGGGTTGCCGAACACAAAGTCCGCAGATTTATCGTAGTTTGAGTACGATGCTTCGTCGGGGGTATGCTTGATGATAAATTCAAGGATGAGAAATAGAAAAAAGGTCAGACCTATTTCGTTTATTTAATAAAACATGCGGCATTGTTAGAGCAGGGTAGGGCTGGCTAGAACCATATCATTAATAAAACGTGATATTTGATTGTATCTACCTATCGATAAATGAATGTCTCTAGACCCTTCAATGTACTTAATATATCCCTTAATCATAGTAGTTTCTTTTACCCCTATCCCATACGAGCCTTCCTACATTCCTCGCAATGTACTCCGCCTCCCCTCAAGATTCAGAATGAACGTTTGACGAGAGTCAACATCAAGAGGATATCCTCTTCTCGTATAATAACATTTCAATTTGGGTGATGCTAATTGCAGATTACAATGACAACCCTTCCATACACAGAACAGGTACCTAGGTACCCAGCATGCCAGGCGGCTGCTACATGTAGTATGTCCGGAAGAATATACCCAAGGAGCAGCCGCGCAACAGTCTCCTGGCAGTCGATATCATTCTTCCTGAGTTCGGGATCGATAGTTGTGAGCATAATTACCTCCTCATGCACCACCGGAGCAGCGAAGGACATTGAATTTTTTTAAATAGAAATGCCTATATCGTGTTTCGAATGTCGTTGGAGCTCGGTCTATGTATTCTCTATTAGCCAAATGAAGAATAAATTAGGATAGGAAGTACTTCATAGACCTCATACAAAAGCCATGATGACTTTAATTCCCAATCCTGCTTCCTTGCCCAATTAATAATTACCTAAACTACCAGACAGCACGTCTTCTAAAGGGTTCCTATCCAAATCTAGTTCACATGCCTTCCCATAGCATTTTGTCCAAGTCAGGTTTAACGTTATTGATATCGTATAGATATATCGACCGTAAGGATCTCGCAGAACTACGATCTTAGGGTTGTCGAAAATCGAGGAGTATTGGATTATATCCCCTCAAGATCCGTACCGTTTTTCTTGAGTTTATATTGCAAGGCAGAAAAGTCAATGCCATGAATCGAACGAAGGAACAAGTAAATATGGCCATAGGCTACCTGGAATCCTCATCGCGTTGTGTGAAATATGGTAGTTGGCAATATATCGAAATATTAAGGGGGAATATGGAAATTTTAGAAGATACCTTGCAGGCAATATGATACAAGGCTCTAGTCCTAGTCTAATGATAAGGCAGCAGCTTACTGTTGGTGATTATGCGCCTTACATACATAATATTGCCTTGTCCCAATACAATAAAGCTCAATGTGTTAATATTTCTCCGATATGTAGACAAAAGGGGTAATAGAACAAGGGAAAGGGGGCTACTTTTAATAGCTCATGATAATCAACTACAAAATAATCAATTCAATCTTCGAATATTCCCTTCACTTCGGAATGTATTTAATCATACGACTTAAAGGTTGTGGTGAAAGTATCTAAATATTATACCGACAGCCTACATATGTACGCGCCAGCCATAAAACTAACACGCCGGGTGTCCATTGAACATGCCGAGGGCGGCATATGCTCTGTAGCGGATGTATACGCAAACCTTCATCCCAGGCCTGAAATTTCTGGATGTTACTTCAATAAGGCTATAACCATCTCTATAGTATCGCAGTTAAAGGGTTAGTATAAAGCGCGTATCCAGTATTATGTCTAGGTATTACCAAGTAGTCTTTTATTATTCTAGGATTTCTTAATATCTCGAAATTGATAGTAAGGCACGTGTACTCCCAACCGAAATAGCTTGGGAATTGATGATTGCCTGCCTACCTCCTAAGGTATTTAAGTAACAAGCCCCTTATTAGACAGGACAACCGACGAAAGGCCCCTAAGGAAAATATTGCCAAGGCTCCCCGTAGAAAATGAACAATATTGATTGTCCGGAAATTTCACCCGGCAGTCATTAAACTCGTATCTGGTAGTAGGGCTGGTGATACCTTGGTCCTGTTTCAACAGGCCAGCTACCCAGCCTAACAATTAGGAAAGGAGATTTCTCCAGCCTGACAAGATTTCCGTAACGAAGAGTCGAAAAAACACGTCACCAAAACAGTGACCTCAAAGGCCTATTTATTTATTTATTTATTGATCATTCCATTATTTACATAAGTATCATTTCATATTTATTTATTTATCTACTCCCAACCACAATCCAAACAGAACAAAAAATGGGGGCGCCGAAAAGATTGCTGTGCCGGACCTTCTCAGAGACCTACCTCAATGACCCGCCAGGCCATTCGGGACAACAAAACAATACATTCGGAACCCTCAACTCACCGCAACTTGGGAATTGCATGGGAAGTAAGCAGGTGGCGCACAATATAGGCCAAATCTCCCAACCCCTTTATTGAGTTTGATCGGAGAAGCCGATATGACCAACAGGTCGTTAGAGCTTAGAATGTAACCGTAGAGGATACGAATGTTTTTAAAAATAGAGACAGAGATAAAGACAGCTACATAGGTGCCTAAGCAACGTACCATGCCGGGCCATAGCCGCTCTACACTTGGGCCTCGAAGATGATTTAGGTACCTCTTGGGGGCATTTTACAGGCCTACCTGGTGGACACCTAATGTATCGTGCTTTACGAGCCAAAAGGTACTTAAAGGTATATTGTAAGAACGCGAGAGAGAAGCGAGAACACGACTCTGTTAAAGCCCGCAAAGCTACGGACCTAGCTAATACTAAACCACCGATATAGCCAGAAGCTCCTTGTCCTAGGTACCTAGGTATTTTAGTAGTCTAAAGGATCAATATATACTACCTTAGCTATGCTCAGCTATACCAATACTAACGGCAGTTTAGAATCAATACCAAGCATCCCTGAATCCCTCACTACGACCTATACAATGCTTGAAAAATGCCTCGTAGCAACAGCTAGCTCTACGTCGTCTTATATCGACCTCACTCGACTCTCAATACGCAGGCTGATGTCCTAAACGTGCGAACGTACGTATCAACCCCTTAACATACCTAATCCCCTCGGTGTCTAGCTTCGTGTCCGTAATGTAGTGGTACCCGAGATGCGCAAAGCTATATTCTTTAGAGTCCTAAAAATATCCGTAGAATAATTGTCGTAATCATTCTCTCATTTTCATAAATACCTGGGTGGATATTCAAGTAAGAGACAAGTACATAGTTTAGCAAGACCATACACTACGCACGTAGAACCAGGGGGTTTGTTTATGTAAAACCAACACGCAAGGCAGTCCAGGCGGCCTCGACACAACGGCCGAGTCGGGTACATACAAGTACCCCCTTTTTGTGTACTGTGTCCATTATCTAGCCGGATGACTCATTTGATCACCGACCTATATATATACGTAGCAGCAACAGAAAACACAGACCGAACTATGCAGATAGATGTCTCATATGCGATTTATAGATAGATCTAGGCAGAGAAGATGCAGGGGAAGGCCTGCCCTGGCTACATGTATGCAGTGAGCAAATCTAGCTCAACATTATTCTGTTAGCTCTCCTTGTAACGCAGAGCTGCTGCAAGTACACGAATGTGCATGCAGCCCCCGCCAAAAGGCCACATATCCAGGACTCCTTGTCGAGAAAGGATACCTAGGAAGGATAAGGGACCTCGGCGTGCTGGAAAGTCTGCCTAGCTGACCGACTGATCGAAGGAACCACGGCATCTGTCTACCGTAGCATAAAACGTAACCCTACCTGCCGTCAAAGCGGCAGCCCTACCATCCATCCATGCGTAACATTTCCAAATAAGTAACGTCCGAGGTAGAAAGTCAGACCAAGTGCAGACCAACTAAGTCCTTAGCAATAAATTCCGACACCCGGGTCTTCCGCGTACAATACCCTACTCCTATTCATTCTGTCCATATTGACGACTTAGGAAAGGTGGAAAGAGACGACCGAACATGAAAGAGGGAACCAAACCAAACGTCTAAAGTATCTATCTAGTCCTGCGCCACAAGATCTCTTAATGAACATGATACGATATCCATACAGCCACCAAGAAACGCCTTGACCGGGGTAGTACCCTGGTCGGTTCAACGCAAGTGGAAAACGAAGTAAATCAACAAGCATAGCCTCATCGCTCATCTCAGCATAACTTAGAGAAAATAACAAAACAAGCAAAACAGAGTAACCAAAACACCACCTGTCTCGTCTATCACGTAGTCCTGGTATGCAATGATCCGCGGCCGACCCGGGGACCATGTAAAGCATACCGCCTTCTATGTAGTTTATGTTCAGCCCTACGCCATCCACCGCCGTATATCGGAAGGAGAAGTGCCACTAAATGCGGCAGTGTGCAGCAGATCAATCCGGGGTAAGAAAAGGGAATAATAGAAATTGAGGGAAAAGGCGTGAGGGAATTTTGTTCATCCTCGTTTCTAAATTTTGCTTAGAGGCGAGGTACGAAAGGAATAGTCAGGGCGTAAACTTGTCGCTAAACCGTGCTGGATTAATGTAAGTACCTAGGTAGCGTCGGTGGTTGTAATAAGCCAAGTCTCATGCACCTAAGATGCTGAAGCTGGGAGTCGTGTTGTCGCGCAGCTACATAATGTGGCTGCTTACTTGTAGCCCCTCAGCTTGCGTCTCTCTGGTTCGCAAGTCGTCTTGCATTTAGCGCACTCGAAACCCTTGCTATCGATGGGGATGCGGCTGAGGCATCTGGCACAGCGCCACCACTTGCTGTCAAAATTGCGACTCTTCCACCATTCGCTGTTCTCCTTGTTGGAGTTGCGTCGCAATAAGTCTTCCATGTGGTAGTCACGGTAATGCTCTCGGCAGTGATCGAGTCGATAGAATGGCTCTTTAGATCTCTGGCATTTCTTCCAATCGCAGGGGAATGGCTTTTTCTGGTTTGCATCGCGATGTCTGTGGAGGTAGTGCCGCTGAAGATCTGCTTTCCGTTTAAACGGCGATGCGTTGCAAAAAGGCTCAAGGCAGACGTGGCGTCCTGAGACATCGCCAGCGGCCGAGGCGCCACTAACGGGAGGCGACCTGAACGAGTCTGTTAGAACATAGATAACATAGCATGCGTATATTCTATAGCGACACTTACATATCAGAACCACTAACGGGGAGGGTTTCTGGATAAATTTCTGTCGGTGTATACATAGGCCTCAGTTTCCAATAGGGGCCTTGCCCTGAATTGTCGCTGGCAACGAAGTCGTAGAACTGGTACTGAAAGTCTTGCTGTTCCACTTGGTTGTTCGCATCGTATCCTTGCTCATCCGATACATATGTTCCTCCATCTTGCACATTCGAGAAATCATAGCTGCCCATATTTTCAGAGCCCGGTGACACCGCAATATCGTATTGTCCATTGCTGTTTGCCGAGTAGTTACTATATTCGCTTCCATGTGACACGTTTCTAGCCATAGCTGCACTGGTTGGCCAGTAAGACTGGTCACCGTATCCGTAATCAGTGCCAGAGATGTATGTGTTATCCATAACTAAACTGGTAAGCTGAGAAGGTTCTTGTTTTTCTATGCACCGTTCTATTATACTGATGTCTTCGTTGAATAGACGGACATATGCCACATGGGATGAAGCTGTACTTATACCGATAGGAGGCTATCCACTCCAAGGGACATGACTCAAATGGCAAGGTAAACTTATTGTTGCTAGGGATCAGTATGCAAAGCAGTTGATGGAATAGAGTTGACAGGTGGTTGAAAATATAAAGGTGTGGTAATACAAAACTATCAGTTGCGACCTGTGGTTAAAGATGTTCATTGGGGAGTTGATATAGTCTCTGTTATCAAAGTTGCCAAAATCTTACTCCAACTAATACATGGTGATCATTTATTGGTGCAACAACAGTCAACATGCGTCGGTAGGACAATTAAGGCTCAAACTGCATATTTTTCTAGGTGAGGCGGACGTTGAGTCTAGTTGGGGCTTCGAGATGCGTCGATAGATGTCCGGCTGAGATGTTCAGTTCCTTCTAGGAGGACGCGGTGAGGTAAGTAAGGTAGTCGACTCTAAGCAATAAGCAAGAACGCGTGCTCATAGCAGATGGTAGCATCGTCCTTGGATAGTGCATAAGGACATCTCGGATAACATCCGAGCTACTATATGTTTAGTAGGTTATAGATAAGCCATACCGAGGCCGCCGCCCCTCCGCTCGCGGGGATGCAATTAAGCTACGCGCGCGTTGCGAATTAGTCTTCAAGTTATTCCGGGGTATCATGCGAATCCTGTGGAATGTCGAAGTGAGACATCCTGTTTGGGTTCGGTGAGCGTATCCTATAGGTAGCAACTAGCTTGGACCGCGGACTCTGGAAGAGAGGGTGCATCACATTCTAAGGCAATGCCACCCATATGTGGACCATTAGCCAAGAAGAGTTCAGCCCAAACACTCGTATGCCACATGAACGCGGTCTGCTCCCGTGGGTAAGGCTGACAAGTGCAATAAGGATGTGGAAACATATGTGCAAGTGTAAGCATTCGAGCGAATTAGCGGAAGATCACGAGACGGGATTGGTAGATGGAGCTGAAAGCAGAGCTTGGTTAGTAACCCACAGCGGCAGATACCCGTAGATTCCTTGGGGTAAGCAATATTAACGACCAAACGCTGACAGTTGGCCATCAAGGCAATGCTGTGACCCCGGGGATCTATGGACGTCACGAAGGTCGTCTTGAGGGCTCTCGATGAATCCTGTGCGACATTTAGTCGTCGTTGGTGCCTGTAAGACACGTACGACACAGCCACCAGAGGGTAGGACTTCAGCCTCAATAGGGACGAGCTATCGAATAAAACGTGAGCTAGGGACTACAACGCTTCTTTATTTTTTAGGCAACCTGTAGTTCGCCCACCGAATGCCTTGCCAACGCAGCGCTTCTGCTCGCCTGCGATTCGCTGCCCAGCTAGCCCCCAATCGTCCAAAGATGAGAAAATTGGAATGCCACGGCACGGTGCCGTAGTTCGTCGATTCTGGTCCCGTGCCTTAGACACGCATACAGTAATTGTATATATGTACCTATGTATGCATATCAGCTAGAAGTGAGGCTTCTGAGGGGAATCTGCAAGACAGAGGCATGGCCATCTTTTCTGCGGCTGCGTCCCACTTAATAGAGATCTGAGGCCCATGAGACTCGGTCAAGCGAGCTGACCGAAGTCCACTTTCAGAAAAGCCAATGGGCGAGCGGATATCAATATCTCTATCCCGATATAACGATGTCGAATTGGCAAGGCTCAGCTGTGAATTGCGTCTCGCCTTAATGGTTCCCCATCGACATCGGGTTGATTATTTTTTCTTTCTAATGCAGTGACGCTTTCTTTCCTGCATTCTGCAGGCTAAATCCCACGACACGGCCATTTGTGCAGGGCTTGGCGTCCCTCAGCCCTCAGCACTCAGCACTCAGCACTCAGGTAGTAAACATCGATGCAGGAACCGATAATCAAGTCCCTCAGGGATTAAGGCAAAGCACCACGCGAGAAGGGAACATTTCGCAGGGAGGTAATTCGGTGAGGGGCGTGTCATCGCAGCACTTTAGGAACCAGTTGCGAGAATCAAAAAGAAGGCAACCTTCAAGTACATATAGTCGTGCGCGAGACACGGGTGGAAGCAGTTGGGCAGCCATGCATGTTATGAGTTGGCGAGATTACATTGGTGCCACGACCTTTGAGATTATAGCTTTTCGTTAGGCTTCATATGAAGGGATAAAGGTTGCCTAATTGTTGAAAAAGAAATGAAGTTGTAAATGTAAATAAATGAAGTTGCAATTGTAATTGAGAAAGTAAATGCGAAGTTTGGAAATAACCTTTTCACTTACCAAGAGCTTGGCTCCACTCGGTCGGCCTACCTATCACCGACATTATAGGGCACCTTCCTTCCATTTTCTTATGACTCCAAATATCATAACTGCGCTACTGTGTATAACAAGCATAAGGTTACTCTAGATGTGATTGTGAATCTTCCACATATGTATGTTATGTAATGTGTAACCTTATGTACATACATGTATGTGACGTCGACCATATATAGAGGAATACGTACCGATGTCTACCTCGGTACCTTACATGATTACATGTAAGTACCTAATACCACCTGCACTCAGCAATGACATCTACATATAACAACATCTCCAATTATATATATATATATGTATGTTGGAGATGAAGTTGGAGATTGTTGGAGGAGTCAAGGCTTTGAATGCAGTCAGACTACATCCAGCTAATGGGGGAGCTTCTTGGATAGAGTGTTCGCCTCGTTAGAATTGGAAGTATACATATATCTAAGAGCGAGCATAAGGCTGTTGATTCCAATCGAGAAGCACGACTACCTAGATAAATGAATAAATTCATTGGCTCCGAGTTCGCAAGGAGTAGGTAGGTTAGACATCTCTGTAAGTGATGACTGCAAGTGTGTATGGCACCACATACCACTACTACAACTCCCTACCTACCCCTCTGCTTAGACGCAACACGCTCATTAGATACCTAGGTAGGTAGGTAGCCCTCCCCTAGGCTACCAACAGTAACCTCGTTGAATCCAGCCCAAACATTTGTAGTAAGAGATAATTAAATATCCCATCCTTTCGTATGTTCCACCATATCCAGAGTTGCCTACTCGAGCGTGACCAGGCAATCTGCACGAGCGAGGCTAGAGAATGGACGAAACCAGGGAGGGAGGCAAACAATTCGGAAATAGCCTTGTGCGTCCATACCAGCGTCATGCAAGGTAACGTACTGTAACACACCATATTCAATCGCCAATGAGGCTCTGCGACGACAGCATGTGTTGCCTAGCCGCCGGTTCGCGGCACAACCCCAACCTGACTGAAGGCCGACGAGAGCTGCGAAGTCCACCCCAGTCGGATTCTCATGCCCACGTTAACAAAGCGGCACGCGTGCATCCCCCGCAACCAGGTAGCCGGTCAGTAAGCCTGCTGCTTGAAGTGCTCATAGTAAAGTTTCACAAAGAGCTCATGCTGAGCAGTGCGTTGGGACTCCGAGATATTATTACTGCGGGCCGACGAGGAGGATCCTCCGAACTCCAGCGAGAGCTCTTTGAAATTACTCGCGATGACCTCGTACGCCTTCAAGTTGATAGGCCTCGAGCTGAAATCCGACATGGACAACAGCCCCGGCGACGTAGCCCCTGTCAACGCAGTCGAGGGGCCCGCACTCGTCGTCGGAGAGAGACTTCCAGGATCCGACACAGACGAAAGGTCGCCCGCGCCATGTCCAGTGCCCATCGACAAGAACGGGTCGATATTATCCCTCGGTCCAGGCCCTGTCTCGGACGATGGGCCCAATGCCCCGGAATGGAAATCGAAAGGCGGGTCCGCGGGCGCGGGCGGGGGGCAGAGATTGGAATAGTCACCGAGCGCTTGGCCGAAACGAGCTTCGTCGAGGTTGATCGCGTCATGCATGCGCCCGCGGGCAAAGGAAGAGCTTCCCGGCTGATCGAATAGCGAAGCTTGGCGACCCGCCTCGAGTCTCTTGTGTTCGAAACCGCTAGGCTCGCCTGCTACGCCGCTAAGGTTGAGAGAGGAAAGAGTTGATTGATCTTCTTGATTGAAGGCAGAGGGTTTGAAGAGTAAGTTTGACGAACGGTCTGCGTCTGGCATGAAGGACGAGCCGGCTGGGGATCTTAGCGTGCGTATGAATTCACGAAGAGGGCCGTCGTCTTCATTGACGGATTTCCTTTGGATCAGGTTTGATGAAGAAGAAAAGTCTTCCTGTTTCGAGTGCATCAACGAACCTTGCGATGTATATCGAGAATAGTCTTCGGGCTGTCCGTATTCGCTATTAGAAGCAGCTGAGGACTCATTGCCGAAGGGATGAGGCTTCTGTGATCCATCATCGGGATACAGACACTGAAGAGACTTGGTTGAACATCTAAGACAAGGCTCCTCTCTCGAACATCTTTCCCGTGCCCTTGCACACTCTGTACAAGCCCGTTTTCTATTGAAGGCGTGGCTGTTTCTTTGGGCGGCAAGGTGCATGAGTTCGTGGCGGGTTAGAATGTCGCTGAAAATATCAGTGCAAATCCATCTTAAAAGTCGAAAGGTATAGTGATATACCTCCTGAAGAATCGCTTCAAACAGATAGAGCAGATAAATGGTTTGTGACCGTCGTGGCTGCGTTGATGTCTCTTAAGATGTTCGGGTCGTTTGAAGCTGCTAGGACAGCGAGGACATTGATATTTTTCTTGAGCCTCACCTCCAGGGGAAGGGCTTTTACGCCAATTAGTTTCTTCTGTAAGACTATCTATTTCCATTTCCATTTCCATTTCGGTATAGACATATGATAGATTCTAGCCTAGCCTTCGAACTCATGATGCTTGCCCCGACGTATTATAAGCCATAGCAATCGTCTATGTATGCGACTTACAAATATCGAGACTAGGCCTATCTAATGTAACGTGCGGGCTAGAAACGGCATGGGTTTCTAGAAGCATTCTAATTCGGTACAAACGTCTTTGACGATCGTAGAGGGCCAAGTTAGTAAGTTGGTGGTGCGCTTAGAGCGAGGGCTCGTCGGAACATCTTACCGATTGATTAAAACCAGTGAGGAGACGAGGACGTCATTGGTCAAAGCACGCGAGGAAACAAGGCTTGACCGGCTCACCTTGAAGCACGTTAGAGGGATATCCATGCTGCTGACTGAAGGGGCTCGGGTTAAGATTGCGAATGAGGACCGATACAAAAACCGAAATGATTGGCCGAAGTTAAGGCTATACTGTTTACCTATACACTCTTTCGCGGAGCACTTCCGTTGACATGCGAAAGAGTAGTCGGAATGAGTATTTGCATTGATGGGAGAATGATGGTTAAAACCAGCTTGTTATTAGTAGCCGTCAGCAGATTTATTTCTTTTCTGCGGACAATCTTTGTAAGATATTACACACTTGTTTTTATTTTTCATTTTCCTAACCCCCCCTCTCCTCTCTGTCAATAACTCATAGAAGAAATGAAAAAATAACTCAACAGAGACAACCCCTAAGCTACCTCTTACATAGCTTGTATATACTATACCACAAAAGACTATTCCATCATCAGCTAGCTGCTACCACAACTAGACAAACATGATTAAAGCTGAGATAATCAAATCGTATCCGGATTCCAGTTTCAACTAAATCTAGCGTACCATGGCTGGCACCCATACTAGGAGGTAGCGATAAGGCTCCGAACCTGCAGCTTGCCCGATGGGGTATGCAAGGGGTAGACATGACGATAGCGCCGAACGTGCCTATTCCAACGTCTTTCTACTAGCAAATCCCACGCTCGACTGGGTAGTAGCGGAAGGACGATGTTACTACGACACCGGGTGTCTCGGGTTCTTCGTCGTCTTAATAGTAGCAGCCAGCCCCGGCCCCCCTTAGTGTTAGCCCCTTAGCAGCCCAACTCTCATGTGACCCCTGCCACCACGGTTCGCGCGGAGATAGTAGGGCACGAAGGTCAGTTCCTTCTTCTCCTCAGCCACCACCGTCTGGCGGAGGGATAAGCCGGGTTCGATGCCGGACTTGGACTCGGTCCGATCATCTATCTTGCGGATCCAACCGACCGATCGGAGGGCAATGTAGTGTTCCCCCATTTGGTTCGTCTCCTCTTCCCTCTCGGTGACTTCAGAGTCGGATTTAATCCCGACGTTGCGGAAGTGGTCCTGCTCCCATGCATTGTCGACATCCTCCACGCAGTAGATTAGCGGCCCACGAGCGAGGGTAAGCGTGTTCTGATTGGTATAGGGGTGTGGAGAGATGAATCGGGGCTTGAACCCGTCGATCTGGATCGAGAAGGCCCTATTCGCCCAAGTGTAAGCGGGCGGGAGAACCAGGTAACCCTTCTCGACCTCTGCAGCTTTGTGGCTCGGCGTGAGCTGTCCAGACATTAGCGATATTGCCTCGCGGGCCTCTTAATCAGGGGCAAACCGGGCACCTACCGTGAAATTCCCTCGCGCCCAGGAAGGAATCCTTAACCTGATAGTCACGCCCGTAGACGCCGGGGCCTGCAGCTGGAATAGCGTATTCCCCTCCCACGGCCAATTCGACTTCTGTTCGAGTACGATCTGTTGGTCTTCTACTTGAAACGTAACCTTGGCCGTTGTGTATAGATGTACGTTGACGTAGGCATCCTTTCCGCTGCCTCCGTAATCCCATAGATATCCCCCGAGGCAGCCAAAAAGCCGCATAACATTCGGTGGGCAACATGATGTATCAAACCAATCCTCTCGGCGGCTTTTATCAGACTCCGAGCTCGCAAGCTGATTTACGTATGTGAATGCGGTCCCCTCTAGACTTAGCCCTGTCATCACTGCATTGTAGAGACATAACTCCATTATGTCGGCGTACTTCGAGTTCAAATCAAGATGTAATAGGCGCTCGGCCAACATTATGACGGCGATAGACGCACAAGTCTCGTTATAGCACCCACCTTCGTCGGAGCTCTGCGGGAGAAAGTAATCGATGCCAAACCCTTCCCATTGCCACATTGACCCGATTCCCCCGGTGAGGTACATCTTCTTATCGACCATATTGTTCCATAGCCTGGTAAGGGCTTCAAAATACTCACTCTTGCGTGCGTAGGGCCTCACTCCAAGTTCGTCTAGACATAGTAGATCGGCAACACCAGTTAGGACTACAATACTAACGTTAGCACCTTCTATTCAAAGAGAATCTTGTCATTGTGGCAATTCAGTATAGATAGAGGTGTCATTGTCCCAACGCTTGACTGGTAGAAGGCACTTCGCCCCCTAAATCACGATAGAACACGCCTAGACCCCACGGTCACTAGACACTTGGACGCCCTTGACGGCCGGTAATGATCGGCATTAAACGAAAGACGTCGAAAAAAAGGCTGAAAAGGGGGAACAGCTTCAGAGAAATACTCACGATACATGGCCCTAACAGCATGACCTTCGATAGTCTTCTGTTCTAGGATCGGAACGTGAGCTTGGTTATACCAACCACTATCGTGCATCGAGTAACTGTCTGGCCGTTGATAGGGGCTTTCGCCACGCTGTCGTCGTTCCCACTCGTAGTAGTGGAGGCCATCCTGGCCTGTCGGGTTGCCACGCTCCTCTATGAAATACTGGGCCAGCTTATAGGCGTCTTCGTTCCCTGTCGCCGTGTATAGACGCAGAAGCGCGAGCTCCGTCTCTGGATGACCTGGATAGGCATGTTTCTACGTAGAAGTCAGTCTATACGGTGGTTCTGATGAGAGAGTTCGCCGCTTCTCGACGAGGAAAGGGGCAAAAGATACTGACCTGATCCGGGCCCGGGCCGATAACCGTGCTGATCAACTTGACGTATTTCTCCAACGGTTCTATTAGGAGGTTGTTCTTGTAGTAATTGCTATGCGCCAACGCCGCTTCTATCAGGTGTCCAGCACAGTACCTTCATTGCGCGAACAAGGTCAGCCAACCATCTGCCCCTGAATAATCTCGAATTCCATAATAAGGGGGAGAGGGTTGGACGAGAACTCACAGCTCATGCTTATCCCTAATATTCGACCACCTGCCCTCCGGCTCTTCTATCGTAAACCACGTATTCAAATACCCATCCGGCTGCTGCGCACTACGTATCATATCCGCAAGCTCCCGCACCGCCGCATCGATCTCGGCGTCGTACTCCTCGCTGAGCAAATAACACGCGCCCTCGATCCACTTAGCAACATCGCTATCCCAATAGACAGGCGGCGGGCACGGCCAGCGGGATTTATCGTACGTCGGCTTCTTCTTCAAGCTAAACGCGTCGTATTGTCCCGAGTCCTTCATCCGCTTGAGCTGCGCTTTCGCCGTCGCCCGCCCCACCGTCGTCCGCCGCGCCCGCAGCAGCGACGCCCCGGTGAACTCGGTCTGCGTGAACTGCGTCTGCGGATGTGCCATGGCTGCTATAGCGTCGGGCTTGATATTTAAAAAGATGGAAGAAGAGGAAGCAGCACTCGGTCTAAGTCTGAATTGTTGCTCCTCACAGACATACGGCCGGGCAGCGACCTGTTTAAGAACAGGAGCAGCGGTCTTTTCTACCATGGCTACGCAGTAATAATTGGTGCTACGTCGCTACGGGAAATATGGGAATCAGCCCGGGAATCGGAGTTGCAAGAACAGTTACGACAATTCGGTTCACCTCACCGCGAAAAGAACGAGCAAGGTGGTTTGGGCATGACATCGCGAAGTCCGCTGTAGCAACCCAGTATAAACCCTCCGGCAGGCGAATGAGGGGAAAGCCTCAGCGCTGGGGGCAAGGTCACTAGACGCATGCACGAGGCGAAGAAAGGAAAGATTAGCGGCCAGCTCCATCGCTGTAATGTTACCACGAAGCGTATTTGAGGTCACGGATCTGGAGCAGCGAGGGTCCCGGCAGATATCTCACCCAAGATTCGGTGCTCCATTGAAAAGCGTTTCGCGGGAGTCGTGGATTGTATGTACAAGACAGCTCACATATAAGCACGGCCCAGGGGTAACCTCGTTGCAGCTTGCATCGGAGATCGATGGAGGGGGGGCCTAGGCCTTGGACAAATGGGAGCGGAACACGCCGCGGGCACGGCTTCTGACATATGGAATTGGGCTATATATTAGAATTGGCATTAGAGCGATACCGCATTTTGCTTTGCGGTGAAAGAAAAAAACGAACTTCGTTCTTCGTCCGTGGACTTATAAGAGAAGAATAAGAGAAGCACGAATCGTAGGCCCTTCTAGAAACAGGGCCAGGGACGTAATAATGCTAGCAGCGTAACTCTAAACCCAACTGCTTGGTACCTGGCGAGTCGACCCTATGTAACTACGCAATGGGAAGACATCCGATAGGCCGGTTGTAGCCTCAAATTTCATGTCGCTAACCCCAATCATGGATGCCACGAGACCTAATAAAAGTCATATGACTATCCCAGCAAAGCGTCAGCTTGTCTGTTGGACGCCGACTCGGACGCTGCTCACATATTTTATTCGTGAGCAGACCGCAGCCGAAGACGGCACGCAACCTAGGGACCGATTTTTTGCTTCACCGGTCTTCCTCGACTCGGCGTATAACTGGTAGACGGTTGAGCTCAAAATTTTGAGCGGTGAGAGGAAACAACACTTACAAGTCCTCGATCGTGAAAGTTAGCAAAGCGAATATACGGCCAAGGAACCTACTTTGTCTATCTGTGCCAGACGTATCATTCATTGGGAAATTATTAGTAAAGCTAAATAGGTCATTCCGCACTCGGGAGCATCGCACAGCATTGAATAATTCTAAGTGAAACCACCGGGAAAGAACCAGGCTGTTCTTGTATGTATTTCCTTACAGATATTACGACAAAGGCAGACTATTTGCCACGGCTCTGCCTCAACAGTATATTCCATACAGTAAGCCTTGCGAGGTAAAGGGCCCCTGCCAGTTGACCATCTACTATGCTTAGGATAGGCAGCAGGGACTAAGATATTCATACGTCATCTTCGAGAAAACGATAGGCAAATTTAAAATCTGCCTTCCTGCGGTTCATCCTGGAACAGGTTAGCAATAGATTCGTAAGACCATGTCTGAGCGTAAAGGAGACATATTTCATGTTGAAAATAAGATAGCAGAAACATAATCGTAGGATACGTACCACGTCGACTCGTAGTCAAAGAAGCGATAGGTGCCTTGCTCGAACTCCTCAGTTATGCTCTTAGGCTCCTCATGTCGTTGAAACCAAGTTTGGTACTGCTTATGAAACCGCCAACTTTGATCTTTAAGCGCCTTGGCTGCTAGATACTGTTGATAAGTGCCCTGCTTGTAGTAGAATACATAGAAGAGCGTATCGGGTTCTATACGCGAGTATAGCCTGGGGTCTTCGAATATTGGGAGCGGTTCCTGCGGGTACCCCGATGCTGAAGGATATCGGGTATCAGGTCTATATATCCGGGTTGGCTCAGAGTCGAATGCATCGATCGAATTCAGGTTCGCCTGAGAGGCCGCCATCATGCGCAGATGTGACGGGCTATTCACCGGCAGTGAACGCTTCTTCGTCACTTCGAAAGACTCTACTAAATCCTGTAACGAAGCAGGGAGATGGTATATAGACTCTTCTTCCTTCTCCTCAATAGGCTTAATACCATTAGCGATGCCATTGGATTGAGTTGCTATATGACCGGGTTAGTAGGATGTAAATACTGCGTATACAATACGATATACCTCTCGAAGATTCAGCGTGATCCGTAGTAACGGGCGCCTTACCTGCAGCTTTCGAAGACGCCTTCTCTGGCTTCTTCGGAGCAGCGGCCGGGATAGTTGGCTCGGAGACCTTAGGTTCAGGCACGCTTGCTGGAACAGAAAGGCTCCCCAGTTTTTGTTCTGACGGAGCCGGTTGTAAGAAAGCTATACTTGGTGAATTTGCAGCACTCGTCCTCGACGGCGCAGCAGGAGGTAAAGGTGAAATACCCGGTGTAGCTGATATTGGTTGCGATCCAGGTGGTGGAGGAAGTGGCGCGATACCAACATTGTTTTTATCGCTTGCGGCAGCGGCTGCAGCGGCTGAGGCATATTTGAGACCCTCTCCAGCCGGCCGTGTTGGTAATGATGCAGGCTTCATACCAGCATTGGCGGTACTACCATTAGTAACATTCGCTAAGGGGTTGTGTAATGTTGCTAGAGTCGGGAGAGGAGACTTCATCTGTGCGGAGGGGCGCCGGCCGACGGCGGCAGCAGCATCGACAGCACTTCGTGACTTTCCGGGTAGGCTACCAGATCGCGATTCCACATCCGCAACGTCTTCCTGTATAGATTGCGTATCTTGCGACGAAACTCGGTCATTGTCCTGGACCATACCGTAAACGTCCTCCTCTTCTTGAAGGTTCAACTCGTCATAAAGTCCTTCGTCTTCGATATAATCATCTGTTGTACCATCTGTGACGTAATAGCGAATACTCTCTTCTAAGTCGTTCACTTGTTCCGTGTCGACGCCCCCGTTATCGAGTGATCTACGAATCAACTCGAGCTTTCCCTGGTGCCATTTATGCCTTTCGATTATGTGCTCAATAGCTGCCATACGATCCGCCTTGGCAGCGTGGCTCTTGCCCTTCTTCATTGTCGCTTGTATCGCCTCTCCTTCCGCTTCGAGCGCCTCGATCTGCTGTTCCAACTCGTCGACCATACTACTTAGGAACTCGCCCGCTTCTACCTTAGCTTGCTCTTTCGGATCTAACTTGGCGGCTGCCGAGAGGCCTTCTTTCGAGTACGCCTTGGTCTTCATAGCTTTTTCTACAGCCTTAAACCGTTCCATTTGCTACAACACAGAGAGAATGCGTTAGTGATACTACAGCAGAGCTTGCAAAATTCTCTTGCTCTAGTACATACCGTCTCTATTAGTTTCCGATGCTCCAGTAACGGGGCCTTATCCTTGATGTCATTGCTAGCAGCCCACGTCTTGATTTGGTCTCGTAATCTCTGCAGCTTCTTTATTTCCCGTTTGAGGTTATCTTCCAGCTTCTCCTTCTGGGCCGTGTTATTTGACTGCTCGATCTTCTCGTAAATGGCATCGAACTCGGCCACTCCTTCTGCAACTTTCTTGAAGCATTTGTCTATCTCTTGTTGTAATTTCCTTGCTGCCATTGTGTCGATGTGTGCTCAGGAATGAACCCGAGCGAATAGGTAGTAGGGCGAATACGTAGGGGCTGGACGCGAAGGCCGTATACAGGGCAGATTTCGTAAGGCGCAACGATGTAGTTGGTAGGTAGGTATGTAGGTAATTGTGACTGTGAAAAGTCTAAGTGAAACTGGCGCAGGATAGAACCCGGTCGAGGTAACCTCTAGGTTTGATCCCGTAAATCATTTAACGGTATCGCACTGGTTTAGCGTATGTAGTGCGGCGCTCGTTACTGGGACCTATGAAGGTAATGAGGAAAGAATATTGGAATATTCGAATATCGCGACTAATGGGTATCATTCGTTTGCTTTGTCCGGCGGGAAGGTGGAAGAGGAAGAGGAATAAGTAATGCAATGTAATGTTTTAGTGATGTCTAAAACATTGTTGTTTGCTGACTACTGTAGGGTTTATCTGTTATCTTGCTTGTTATTAGAAAGGCTGAATCTTTTCACACGGGTTTAGATGCGATGATGAAAGCTGCACTAGGGCTGTGCTGAAATCGCAATCTACAGCCTACTACAGCCTACCGCACACAGCCCGTAGCCTGCCTTACATGTACATAATAACACCTGCCCGGCCCGGCTTACCTCAGTGCCGTTGCTATGTTACGTAGGTATTTCCCTGTACCATATCGTACTTACCCCAACGTTATCTCTAGGGCAAAGTTACAGGCAACAACAAGAGTTATTGTCCGCCTCACGTTTAAGGGGTGTAACAACTGTTACGTACCTCTATATCGGTATTAATGCTAGGGTTCGGTAAGAACATTGCGGTTTTTATATCCTCACTTAAACCGAAACTGCGGTAAGATATTACCTATACGTAATATTCCTTAATTTTTATCTATATTTGTTAATTAGGTACTCTCTACCGTGCACTTATGCATTGATTGTTTACATTTTGGTCTGATAACTTAATGTCCATTTGACATTTACCGTTTCAATGCTCAAAGCTCAAAGCGGGCCTTTCTTTTAGTGGATCATGAAGTCTAATAACGTACTAAGACTTGACATGCCAACTGGCAATCAGACGACAACTTGTTTTCTACAATTAGTAACACTAGCAGCATTTTACCTTAGGTAGGCATTGCCGTATTATCCATCAGGACTAGTATTAGGTAATTAAAGATTGAAGATAATATCAACTAGTTAGTTACCTCTAAAGTGTTTCGCAAACACATTATGCACCTTGCAATCCTCAATATAACTCATTAATATTAGTATATTCGGAGTCATTTATTTGAGCAACATTCATATCGTTTAAAATGAAAGGTCGGTACTTTAAATTCAAACATCCACCTTAACTTATTATTAATTGTTCATATTACTTGCAGCTATCCTACAGCGCGTCCTGTCTGCTTCCGTGACGGTAGAAAAGGAGGTCGTATCGTCTATCGGAAAAGGAGTTTTAGTCTTTGCCGCAGTGGCCCCCGGTGATACAGAGAAAGAAGCAGATTCCTTAGCAGCTAAAGTATTAAAGCTGAAGCTGTGGGACGACAATGCGGGGGGAAGAGTATGGTGACATATTTATGCCCCATTCTTTATTTCTCCTTTGTCTCATACGCGTGTACTCCGTGGTCATGTCTAACAAATACTTATTAGTGGAAAAAGAGTGTGATGGATATCGGCGGTGAGGTCCTATGCGGTGAGTTCTAAGTATTTCGGTAAAAAAAAATGGAATTATTACCGCCTAACAAGGACTTCTCAGTGTCCCAATTCACCCTACTTGCCTCTACTAAGAAGGGCAATAAGCCCGACTTCCACGGAGCGATGGGAGGGGAGGAGGCCAAGAGACTCTACGACTACTTTTTTGAAAAGGTCCAACAAGGCTACGCAGCCGATAAGGTAAAGAACGGAGTGTTTCAAGCCATGATGGAAGTTGCCTTAGTGAACGATGGCCCTGTATGTCTTGAATTCCTCTGTGCTCCCAACTCCATGTAGGGTGAGATATTAACCCGGGTTTTAGGTCACGCTGGAGCTATCAGCTGGTCAAAAACCTACATCTGCGCCAACACCAACACCTACGCTAAATCAACAATAACGGCTAGTTATCCAATAGCTCTTGTTTACAGCAACGTAATGATTGACTTCTCAATACAAACTCGACCATTATATCCATTTGAGTATTTAGTACTGAAACATTATAATCAGAAGCTCGTAGTCGAAAAGAACCGCATCCTAAACCTGTTATAGTGAGGGTATCAATATTAATGCAAATGCCGCATGCAATGTGATAAAACCAAAAACGCCCAGATCCGCCCGATTCCGTATTCACGAAGAGTCTGTCAACTCCTCTTAAAAGAGGGTGTTGAAGCGCTACGCCCATCTAAAAAAAAATCCGTTCTGGGGTATTACCGTCACGAAACTCCGTGGAATGCTTGCGGTTGTTAGTTCAACCGTCGTTCTTCTTCGGACGCCTATTGACCTTCCGGCTTCGCCTCTTAGCAACCACATTAGCATCCCAAGTCCCCATGAAGATATCTTCGCATTCATCCTCGTCGTCTGAGTCGAACATGACGGGCTCTACATCACCCTCCGTTGGCTCGGTTTCCTGCTCGGTTTCAAACCCGTGAACATCGCCAACCCTAGTGTCTTCCCAGTTCCGGTATACGACAACTCTTTGAGTCTCGAGTATGTACTTCCCGATCTTGTATTTCTGCGACTCTTCCTTCGCGTCTATGTATTTCCAGCCCACCTTGGCGTGACAGACTGTACAAGAGATGTCTGCGACGACATGCGATCCAGTAACCAAGAGGCGGGTTTCTGACTTGCCAATCTTGATGTTAATAAGGTCTCCGGCCTTCATGCCTCTACGTAGCGGTTGGTCCTGCGTTGAAACTAGGAATGCCCGGCCGTAACGGCCTGTGAATCCCTTACTCACAATTTGCGAGGCGAATGCAAAATCGGAAGCACATGTAGAGCACCTAATGGTGTTGGGTTGTGTTCGTGCAATAGACGTCTCTAAGGGTGCCAGGGATGGTTGGCTCCCTTTAGACCTAAAGTTGGTAAAGAAGTTGGTAGGTAAAGTAAATGAGGGTATCGATAGCCGCCTCGTAGGACTTGATGGTGTCGAGTCCGTAGGAGACGAGCTCAAAGACGGTGGAGTATCGGCTGGTGGGCTTTCGTGACTCGACTGCGAGCTCTGTCGTCTTCGGCGAAACGGCATAGAGAGACTAGGGAGTAGGTAAACGGGAAACTTAAGTCCCTCGACCTCCTCTCGAACCGGTGCAGGCAGAGGAGGCGGGGACGGAAGCACCTCGTTAAACATTATGGAATACATGTTACTAGAGTTGTAAAGTAGCCTGTGGTATATCTTTCGATATAATGAGCATGAACCATGCTCCGTTGGAGAGATGTGTATATTTCAAGTACCTGACTTGAATAGTTTAAGTTGAACAGTCAAAGGAGACCAGCTCAGTCGTCGGAGACAGAAAAGTCGAGACGTTGGAGTGTAACAACAGCTTAGCCCCGCATGCATGAAGCAGAAGAGCAACGAGCAATGAGCAACGGACAGCAAAGAATGGTTCCATGCTCTGGATGGTTGGGCAGACATGCCACATCTTAAAAGAGCTACTTACACTCCCGGAATATGCGGGTGATATCCATGTCAGGCTTCATCCATGGATGCTATACATGACATACCTATGTATGTAACGAGTAGACTTGGTACATATTTACCAGCATTATCATTTAGAGTTGATCCCGTGTGCATCGCATCATCGCATCATTCTGAGGGAAAGGTGCACTCACACGCTCCCTTATCGGAGATGCCCCCCCTAAGCTTTATCGTCCATTATCGCCCACCCGACAAGGCTAAGAGAGCGGATAGAGCGGGCTACTGTTTGAAAGGTGACCCTTGCATGGCTCCTGCTACAGCTATAATAGGAATAGGCTTGGGCAGCTTCAATGCTAAGTTTAATACCTATGTAGATGGCGTCACACTATAATATTACTTAATATACCTGGGTTAAGTTGCTTCCATGATACAACATTAGGTAATTACATCTATAGCTGTTGCATTCGTGATGTTATGTACTTGATATACCATCTTCATATTTTGTGTCTACATATTTTAGCATCTATTTCAAATAATAGTCTAGTACACTATCTTGAATGCCGCGTTCACCAAGGCCTAATCGCTAGGTTAGTCAGATCTTTAGAACATAATATGCACCAGGCAATTCTGACTGTACTTGATCATAAATAGACAATTATTAAGTGCTGCATATGTACCTAAGGTAGGCTCTGGCCAAAAAGATCGACCTACTTCTCCACGTGCTGATTCGCGAACACCTAACTGCCTCTCTATCGCCAAGTGTGGCATCAGTCTTACGCTACCACATGTACTACATTATAGCCACTGACGATGTAAGCCCAAAGCCGAGTATGTGGAGCCAAGTCGCCGCCATGCGAGTCAGTAGAGCTAAGCTGCGATATGACTGAGTCAACCGAACGCCGAGCGCGGAGTAGCTATCTTCGCAGCAAGATAGTAAAAAGCTGGAGTAAAAGTAGAAGAGAAAAAGCGCAGACTAGCCAATATAAGGTTGTGTTAGATCTATAAATTATATTAAATAAATCAATAGGTTATCTGCGTATCAAAGGGGTTATCAGACTTAATATGCGAATTAGCTCCCTGGCTTAATATAAGTAAAAGCGACTAGATGACAATACTCTTATACTGAAAGTTGTTCATATTACCAATGTATACATACATATATATTAGGTACCTATCGAGGTTCAAATCAAGGTCTGATTATCAGATCAAACAGATGTTCATAGCAATCGCACGTTTTGATTTATGTATGTATGTCAAAGATAAAACATTGCTGCCGGTGGGCTGATCGGCTCTGCGGATTTCTGAGAAGTTGGTGGAATGGAGCTGCCAAGCTGCACAAGAATCGGCTACCAATCACCACGCTCCCAGCCTATTGGTTCAACCGATATCAGATTAGCACGTGATCGACATGCGGGGTGGCGCGGCTACAATGCAGCAAAGTGATTGGTCCAGTTGTAAAACTCTAGCCGTTTCCAGAATCTAGAAGCCACTAGCCCGCTCTTTTGGCAAATGCGAGTGCCCACATTGACCGCTGTTGTCTTCTTTCGAAGATATTTGACTTGAGAGTTGCCGCCTCGTCCGTCCGCCCGCCCTACAATTTTCATAAGTCAATCTTACAAACTTCAACTCAACCATACACAGACCGTCAAATCCAAAACGACTTAAGAGCAATCCAATTGACTCAACAGCTAAACCAACCACAAACCAAACTTGATTGTCAAGGACAGATAATTATTTCGACAGCGCACACCTATCAATTACGCTTACGCTTTTCGGAGTTCTCCCAAAGTCCCGATTCATCATTTCGACCAGTCAACTCCATTCCTACGATAAACCTGGATTCTATCATCAGCTATGGCGCCAATGAAAAACAATAAAAATAACTATCTTAGTAGTAACGGCGAGGCCGTGGCCCGTGAGGTCAATGTCCTCGCCAGTTGCTACGTCGTCGACCCCGCTGCGTCCCTAAAGGGACTTCACTACTGCACTACCGGGGCTGCAGGTATGTCTTTGTCCCCTAACTAAACCCCAAACTTACCTACCTATATCACCTATATCACCTATATCAATCTAGACTTGTGTACTAACCAATATTTTCCAACAGGGGCCGAGTGGTATTCCTGAGGTCCCTATCTCAGGTCTACCATCTCCTCCGTCAAGTCCCCCCCTCGCGGCCATCACGACGTCTAACGAGCTCGCTCTTCAGCCCAAGAACAAGAAGCGCAGCCGCAACGCACCGATTAGCCGAAGCCGCCGAGGGGGGGCAACACTTCAGATCAGGGAAGAATGTGAGAGATTCTTTTGCGAGACCATGAAAGCTGTGTTCCAGGGTGAGTGGAATGTGGCCGGTAATGGCTCCTGCCTGACTGGTGTTAATTACGCGCTTACACCACCTGACGACTATCCTATGAGTCAGTCGTCCTTCTGCAACATTGATACCAAACTCGGAGTCTATGTGAACGGATGGATGGAATTTTGGGATTATGCTGGAGGTGCTAGCTTCCGAGCCTTTATCACAGAAGATGGCGACGAGAAGTCCTTGTTTGCATTCTTTGATAGCGGGCTCGTAGGCCGCGATCTCAAGCAAGCGTATGTTATTTACTTTCTATCGTATCATTTGGGGCTATGCTGACACCATCGCAGACTCATTGCTTTGATTGAGTTAGCCGATGGTCCAATCGAATGCTCGCATGTCGTGATCTGCGTGGACCGTTCGATGCCGCACGAATATGCGAAGGCATTGATGAAGAGTCTTCAGTGGGTTGGTTTCGAGATGACCACCTTGGACCATTGGGCCAAAGACATCGATGTCATTAGCGACAAATGGTTATTCATGGGCATGGAAGTCTAGATGTGGTATTCTGGACTCTAACGATCGTTCAACCTATTTCGATTTTACGAAGGTGCTAAGGGTTATTCGGCGTCTAAATACCTACATATCCTTAAGGTTAAGGTTGCTTTCTTTTTTTGGAGTTCTCGGAAGGCGTATTTACACCCCCATTAGCCTTGGCGTATGGGTCGTTTCTATTGCATCTGCTGCATTCATACCATAGGCGTCGCATCGGCTTAGAGGACCGAGATTGAAAATGGATCAGTATTGCGAAGGCAACGGTATAGTAGCAAATTACTATCAATAGACAACGAGCTTCTAACTTTCCACTTCCATATTCTAAACCCGTAACGCCTATCTACTAAATGCCGTAATGCGATGAATGCGCCAGACCCGTTAGCTCCCTCGACCCCAGATTTCATAATTCCCCTTCGAACTGTCTCACTTCCAACCCCTTTTCTGCTAGATAATCTTTGACTTGCTTGACAGTGTACTCTCCCCTGTGGAACATGCCTGCTCCCAGCGCAGCGTCCGTCCGCGTCTTCTCGAAGACTTCCTGAAAGTGGGATGGGTTGCCGGCACCGCTGGACGCGATGACGGGAATGCGTATCGAGGCTTTGACTTGGTTAATCAACTCGAGGTCGAAGCCCGAGTTGGTACCGTCGCGATCGATGCAGTTAAGCAAGATCTCGCCGGCACCCATGGCCTCTACAGCACGTGCCAATTCCACGACGTCCAAATCACGGGTCTCGCGACCGCCTTTGATCGTGCAGGCGTACCAGCAGTACTCCTCGCCGCGGGGGCCTGGGAAATTAGTGCGAATGGTGGCGTGGCGCGTGGCATCGACCTTGGGCACGTAGACGCGCTTAGGATCGACGCTGACTACGACGGCTTGGTTCCCGTACGCCTTGGAGATCTGCTCGATAGCCGTGTTACCGAAGAGCTTACGCCCAACGGCGAGGTACTCCTCGGCAGCGAGCACGGCATCGGAACCAATCGAGACCTTGTCTGCGCCACTCTTGAAGTACATAGTCGCGATCTCGAGCGCGCTGACCTTGGTCCCGTCCGTATCAACCGTGTCGCGGATACCACCGCCGACAGTCAGCGGGACGAAGACCGTCTCCGAGGTGCGCCGTAAAATCTCGAGCATAGGCAGGTCGGCTAGCGGACAGTCCCGGAAGCTGGTGATGTTGAGGAAGGTGACTTCGTCCGCGCCCTGCTCGTAGTACTTCTTGGCCATCTCGACTGGCTTGCCGAGGTTGCGCACGTCGCGGTTGTCGGTCTTTTCGCGCACGTCGTATTGGTCGCCCTTCGTCACGACGAGGTCTCCTTGGTCGTTTGTCCGTACGTCAAGACATGCGATGATTCGTTTTGTTAGGCCGCCTGTTGGTGCTGGTCCGGCTACGTCTTGGCCTAGTGTCTTTGCGCCTTCGCCTGTCAGGAATGCTTTTAGCACTCTGAGTCCTGCAACGCCGCTCTTCTCCGGGTGGAACTGCGTCGCCAGCACGTTCGCCTTCGCTACGGCGCCCACAAATACCTCCCCGCCGTACTCTCCCGTCGCAACGGTCCAGCCTTGGCCCTCTAGGTCGCCTTTAACGTGTGGGTACTTATACGAGTGGACGTAGTAGTACTTGCTTTGCGGGCTCAGATCGTATAAACTCTTGCCGCCAGCATTGGCGCTATTCCAGCCGATATGCGGAACAGATTTTTGGGTGTCATCGAAGCGGTCCAGAGAACCTTTTATTATACCCAGACCCGGGTGGGCAGGATCCTCAACTGAACCTTCGAATAGCGCTTGAAGCCCGACGCAGATTCCTATAAACGGCTTGCCGGCTTCGATATGTGCGCGAACGGCAGGTAAGTATCCGGCAGATGCTAACTGGCTTGTGCAGTGGCCGAAGTGGCCAACTCCGGGCAGAATCAACTTCTCTGCGCGCGCGACCTCATCCGGGCTACGGACCCATTCAACGCTGTATCCGCACTTTTCGATGGCGTTGACGAGAGACCGTACATTGCCCGCGACATAGTCGAGCAAGTGAACTGTAGGCATAGCGGGCGAGATCGGCAGCGGCGTGTAAGTGTAGGGACTCGAGAGCGCACGAAAAGTTTTGCAATGTTTAGGGAGATTAGGTAGGGGAAGTTAGATTTTAGGTACCTACGTAACTATAGTTTATAGCGAAGTAGCTGGAAGTTAGCGATAACTTAGCGGACCTCGAAGTTTATCTACCTCTACGCGAGAGCTAAAGGGACATAGGAGGTAGTTTGGCGGGTGAGTCAAAGGCAGCTACAATGGGAATTTTCAGCGCGGATGAGGGGCAGGAGGGGCAGCTAGGACAGGAGCGATTGCGCTTGAACGACCCCTCCAAGAATTACCTAGGTACCTCCTAGCTAGGAAACTTAGCGCATAATGCCAGTGTTGACCGCCTGAGCTACCGCTAAAAATGGCAAGCACCTCATTTCTAAACTTCATGACATTTCACTTAAAGGATCCGAGCTATCAAGACGCAACTTAGCTCTTTAAAGACACATATACTAGGGAATTACAAATTACAATTACAAAGTTGATTTTCAGTTCCGTGTTACATGATAACCCGACATCTCAAATGCGTTTCTGCATATCCTTAAGCCGTCATAATTCCGTCTTACAGATATCCGATGGCTAGGAACGGTATAAGTGAGGCTGGTCCTCGCGTTCCCTACGGAGCTCCCGCGACTTGGCACAGCCAACTACCCGCTGAGGAGGATGAATCTGAATGGGAATATGAATATTCTAAAACAGAGACCGAGGTAAGTATTTTACTATAAGTATTTAGATTAGAGACTAACTTATATCAGAGCTTCTATGTTACTCTAGATCTCTCTCAAGCAGACTTCACTAGCCGTGATGCCAGTGTTATTAACAGGCCGGGCTATCGTGGTGGCGAGAAAGCTGAAAGGGCGAAGTTATACTTGAACAGGAGAATGAGTCCAAGTAACGGCATCGATGATAGCGACGATGAGAGAGATCTATCGCGAAATTCAAAGCCGAAAGAGTCTCAAAGTGCTGACGATGGAGATGACCATGAGGTTCAGATCTTGGACCTCGAAACTACTAATCCGATTATTTCGTATAAGGGGCGTGTTTATTCAGGCCAATGGAACCAGAACGTCGGCACCGAACTCCTCATGGCAAAGCGTGACAACGATAACCCTCTTCCGGCTCTCCGGCAGCTGGATCATGATGTAGATCTCTTAGCCGCTAGCTGCGCAAGAATCAACGTCAAGGAGAAGCAGCTCAAGCCCAAGGACGTCACTCTGAAACGACAACGTGATGCGATTGCGTCTAAGGAGCGGCAAACCTCCCAACCTGCTGTCCCTCCTGCCGAAAAGTGGGCTGCTCCGGAAAGAGTCGCACAGGGTAATTTTCTCGAGAAGCTCATCGCGCTTAAGAAAAGGTTAGGCGAGACGGACGAAGTCACTGTAATTGCTAAGAGCATGGAAGTGAGAGCCCAACACAACCGAAGCAGGAAACTCAAGCAAGGCCACCGAGGCAAATTCAATCTTCCTCACACTAGGGGCCCGAGGAGAATGAGGGTGAAAGACGCTGGCATTCTTAGAACGTTATCGATTCGCGAGGGGTCAGCCGCAACTTCGCCTTCGCCTAGCGTTGCTGATACTATGGTTTCTACGCCTACCCCGCATCATTGGGATGAGCTGGAAGAAGGGGAGCAGGGAGAAGAGAATGAGGTGATAGATGAGAATGAAGAGGATGAAGAGATGGATAGGGTCGAGTATTATGGATCGGGAGGAGAGGGAGATGAGAATGAGGACGTGGACATGGATGAAATCTAAGGATTCTTCCAAGCATGCTGATCGGAGTATCGTACTAAGCTATGTTCACTCTTACTGTAGTACTTGGAGGTTTAGTCAAGAGCCTCTGAAGTGAGAATCAATCTTTGTGCTTTAATTTGCCTATTCTTAAGTATTCTTGTCTGCTTCCTGTGGAGTACTTCTTCCTCGGGGGTTAATACATGCGATCACGCATTTTTCAGCTCATAATACAGTAGTCACAGACTACTCGATGATCCTCAAACCCCGTCAACCAGCCATGGCATTTAGTCAAGTAATTTTTATTAATCAGGTTACCTAACCTGTTCTAATTACTCGTTGCCCAATTTCGTCCCAGTACTTGTTGCAGTTTATAGTCTAGAATTCATTCTGGAATTGATTCTAGAATAGATCGTTGATACTCTTGTCGGCATCCTTCTTGATAAGATCTATCATTCCCTACCAAGTTGTTATCAGATAAGCTATTACTCCAGCTAGAAGCCAAATACCAAAGCAGCGGTGAAGACTGCGGGAGGGAGGGGACAAAAGGAAAATGAGATAATCACCCACCTGAGGCATGATCGGCTTTCCGTCCTTGCCTTTCACGTATCGGAACGGCATCTCTGTGCTCTCGTGCTCGTTGAACTTGAGCTCGGGGTAGTCGAGGTAGGGTATCTTGTTCAACGTGACTGTTTTTTCTGGTTAGCTATGTAGACTCGCGATACTTCCACTCGTTCGCGAGGTAGCTTGCTATGAAAAGAGAATGGGATGAGGATATAATGGGGAAAGAAAAGTGAGAAGTGTGAGGTGAAAATTAACTTACACTGCTCCTCAATCACCATCCGCGTCACCCTCACCGCCGTATCGGTCGTCATCTGCACGGGGCCCAGCCTGCGGCCCTGGTATCCCTTCTTGCGCAGTTCGGACGTGCGATCTGTTCATCATATTAGTAACTTAACTTTCATCACCAATCCACTATCCTCCCTTCACCCGCCCATCTCGAAATATTGGCCTCCACCCTCCACCCTCCCCCCCCACAGCAAAGAAAGCCCACACATACCTCTCGGCGGATCATCGCCCAGAATCCCCCCAAACAGAAACACATCGAAATCCCTCTTATCATCCGGACTCAAATCCCTATCCGCCTGCGGATCAAGCAGACACACCCTCTCCCTATCCTCCTCGTCCGTGTAAATATCCTCGATGCTCCGACCCTCGGCGATGAAGGACGGGAACCCGGTCAACTTATACGGGACCTTGAACCCGCGCGGCAGCGACGACAGCATAAAGGTGCTCTGCGCCCGCTGCGTCTCCTCCGCGATCGCCGCGTACTCCAGCTCCGACCACGGCCCTAGCTCCGCGTCCAGGTGCTCCACTACGTATGTCTTGCGTTCCGGCATCTTGGTGGGCTGGGACTTGCTGCTGCTGCTGCTGCTGCTACTGCGTGCGTGACTGGGCTGCTTATAATGTGGGTAACTATGTGTGGAAAAGGAGGGCGGGCACCTTTTATATTTCGAGATTTCTCTGGATCTCGGTGTCTATTGCTGTGTTTTGTTTGCGTACTAGGTATGTATGTAGTATGCTGCGATGAGACCCAAAGCCTTGGTAGGTTATACGCCTTTTACTATAAGTAATTTCGGTACGAATTCCGCTATTGCGATTTTTATCAACTACTTATTAGGTAAACAACTTATAAAGATTTAGAACTTATGATGTATCTGCTGACCCGTTCGACTTGATTGTATGAATGAATTTATTGGCTCCCAAGAGGGAAAGCCCAAACAAAACAAAGCCCTGATTTTGCACCGATTGAGAAAATCCCACTAAACTGAAAGAGCGGGAACCAATCAAGTCGACACAACCAAAGCTCCTACGTAGACGCCCTTATGTCATTTGAAGCTAGACTCAGTCACTGTGTCTATCACTATGTATACATACACGGAATGAGGAACTAGTTGTAAAGACACACTTGAACTTATTAATAGGCCTAGACACAGGATTCTGAGGCTAGACTGATCAAAACACTACCGCATTATATACCCTTCTAGTACCAATTCCATGCCAAACTGACCTTAATCATCGTGCCTTTTAATGCCCTTAAACCCTGCGCCCGTAGCCAGCGACTACTTATGAAGATACACCGGGGAAGCTCTCCCCTCGTAGGACCATTGTAACATGGTGTAGTTAGTATATGAATTTAAGCGGTTGACTTTCGCGAACCCTTGGTTGGAAGGGAACCAAAGTCCTTGCTCTTACGCTTCTTCGTAGGTCTGCTCGATCCCCCCTTAGGTCGGTAACCGCCGTCATCGTCTCTTTTCCTCTTCCCCTTCGCCGGCGCATCGTAACCCGCATCATCATCCCAGTCCATGGATTCGGCAGCTTCCTTCTCTTTTTCCTTACGACTGACAGCTGATTGCCTTTTATTTCGTGCGGTCCCGCCGCCCTTACGCTTCCGACCGTCGTCTTCTTTATCATGGCCATCATCCTTATCTTTGCCTTTGTCCTTATCTTTTTCCTTCTCAAGATCCTGGAGGAACGTCTTAGGTGCATGTCTTCGCAACCAGTTGTAGACACTCGTCGGATTGCGCAGCGCGAAGTTAGCGGCCGGGTTTGGGATCTCTTTGCCAATGGCACTAGGCGCGAGAGTGGGCTTCGGCTTCAGGCCCAATCGCGTATCGAGTTCGTGGAGATACTCGTCAACGTCATCGGCCGTTAGAAAAGAAGTAGGGTGTATCTGAGGATCTCGAGGTTCCAAGTCATCCAAGATTTCTGGATATTGCTCAACAGTGGCGGCAAACGATCTATGTGGAACGTCCTCCTCTAGTCGCCTTAGAGATCTTGTAGGCTTTTGGGTTGCGTCTGAGTCGTTATCATCATCGTCGTCTTCTAAACTAAGGTCTATCCGTCGCTCGAAAGGGATCTGGGGCGACTCGTTGATATCAAATAACAAGTCCAGTAGGCGACTGAAGGCGTGGTTAGTGATCGCATGTCCATTTGTCGAGATAAAGCGCAAAGAAAGGGATAGTTCTTACTCGTTCTCGATAGCTAAACGCTTAGCAGTTCGCATGGCCTTTTGTTCTAGTTTATGCAGAGTCTCGATCTCCTGCATTTGGTGGTCAAACTTGATGCGCATCTTTCGATACTTCTTCTTCCACGATTTATATGACGGCCTTGTATCGGTCATGTGAAGGTCGCTATGGTCGACATCTTTGTCGAACTCGGCCTTAACTGAGCGCTCCATTGTCTGTCCAGGGAGCAGCCGTCTTACGCGATAGAGACGCGATAAATGATAATGTAATGGTTGTAGGGGGAAAAAAGGGAATTAAATTAGAGATGGTAAGAATTTGGAAAGGTTGGGTTAATTGATTGCGAAGAGAAGTAATGAGAGATAAAAAAATTCAGTTGGGAGAGAGGCTATCCTAAATGATTACGACAAGGCGGAATTGTCAAACATGGCCCATGCCTCCCGAACGTGACTAAAAAACAAGAAGACAATGAGAGTTGGGGGTTAATGTTTGGTGGATTGAAAATTTAGTGATTCAAAAAGTGCGGGTGCATTCATAAAAAAGAGGTTATGTGTTATGGCAAGAGCGATCGCATTTCCCTCCTAGCCTGGCACACTGCACACTGCACACTGCACACTGCACACTGATACCGCGCATCTTTCCTTCCAGCAACACGCGTTCATACCATCTCCTCCTTCTTTTGGGGGCTAATAAAAGCATCAGTTCTCCAGATGGAGCATTTCGCTAAAACCACCCCTAATCAATTAAACATTCCACACCTTAAGCTATCGATAACATAGCACCCCCACCGTACCAAACCTAAAAAGGCCAAATTCTAGACCCCACCAGCCCACCACATCGCTATCCGTCTTTACAGCCAATAGTTATCTTTAGAAATATTCACAGGCTGACCTTTGCAAACGACGAAAAGTAAATTGGAACAATTAATCAGCCAAATATATACCGTTGTATGTTCCGACAAGTATTCAAAATGGCTGAAAGCGCAGCAAAAAGATTGAAAACCTCGGGTGGTGGTAACGGTGTCAAAATCGGCACCCACAACGGCCATTTCCATGCTGATGAGGCCCTCGCCGTTTACATGCTACGGCTGCTTCCTACCTACGCCGACTCTTCCCTCGTCCGCACGCGCGACCCAGCTCTACTAGAGACATGCCACACCGTCGTCGATGTAGGCGGTGAATATGACGCCTCGCGCAACCGTTACGACCACCACCAGCGTACATTCACTACAACTTTCCCCGGCCGACCAACTAAGTTGTCCAGCGCGGGGCTGGTGTACATGCACTTCGGCAAGTCCATAATCGCCCAGCACCTGAGCAAGTCTGAGGATAGCGACGAGGTCGGCGTGCTATGGAACAAGCTCTACGAGTCCTTCATCGAGGCTCTCGACGCCCACGACAACGGCATCTCGTCGTACGACCCGAAGAAGTTAGAGGAGGCTGGCATCGAGAAGGCCTTCAGCACCGGTGGCTTCACCCTCGGCGCTATGGTCGGTCGCCTAAACCCCAACTGGAACGATCCCACACCCTCGGACCCGGCCGAGGCCCAGGCCGCCGAGGATGAGAAGTTCCTTACGGCGAGCACGCGTATCGGCGAGGAGTTCTCGCGGGACCTCGATTACTATGCGCGAGCATGGCTGCCCGCGCGCGCCATCGTTCAGGATGCTTACAAGAAGAGACTGCAGTTCGACCCCGAGGGCCGCGTCATGGTGCTCGAGGGCCAAGCCGTGCCTTGGAAGGACCATCTATATACCCTGGAAGAAGAAGAGGGAGAGTCGGCTAAGAAAGTTCTCTACGTGCTATACCCGGAGAAGCCCGTCCCCGACGCCAAGTGGCGGATACAAGCCGTGCCTGTCACCAAAGACTCGTTCCAGAGCCGAAAGGCGTTGCCCGAGCCGTGGCGGGGCGCGCGCGATGAGCAGTTGGACGAGGTATCTGGGGTTCCGGGTGGTGTATTTATACACGCGTCGGGATTCATCGGAGGAAACAAGACCTTCGATGGTGCTAAGGCGTTGGCCGAGAAGGCCTGTGCATTTTGAAGATAGAATTCCACTTACCAAGTATGTAGAGGAACTGGAAAAGTGTGATAGCCCTCTGGCATATACCCAGCAGAAAGACAAAAATCAATGGAAAGCTACAACCTGGCAAGTGAATACTGTTGAGAACACGGCACAAGGACCTGATATTTCCCGAGATATGAAGCCTCGTTATTAAAACAACTATCTGACACTGACACCAGAGCAATGCCTAACCCATGTTGCATTCACAGGTAAGAGTAATAAATAGCAGCAGTTCCAAACATTAGGTTAGGCAGTCAACCAAGCCAGAACATAGAGAGAGAGAAAACAAAAGAAAAGGAACCAGGGGTCTTAGCGAAAGTTCTCGATTTGGGAATTGGGAATAGACCCTAGAAGAAAACGACGACGACGACATAGCGTCGTTCCATCCGTGATATTTTTTGCAATTGCGAAAATTTCCCTTTGCCAGTACCACGCGAAATCACCGTTTCCCCAAACGCCGCGGGAGGATAAAAAATCAAAAAGAAGTAACTAAAAAAAAGTCCTCGTAACCCATCGTCGTGAACGGGAGCCGGCTACTAGCACCTTTTGCACCTTTCTCGTCTCCCTCGCGCGCAATATAACGCAACGCAACGCAACGCAACTACTCGGTCGTACAACGACGGGCAAAAAACGTACACATACGCTCCCCGTGGCCGTGTATGATAGAGCTGGGGAGGAGGGTAGAAACCCTTTAGATAACGCGCCTCTTTTCTTAAGTAGCATCCAACGCTGTTCATCCGCTGTCCTCCGTAGAATCATCTCGTCTCACCTCATCCTACATTGTCCCGCCCCAGTAGCAGTGTCGCCTTACTATCATCTTATCTTCGGATCGGGATACCTTTGGCAGCATCGCCGTTTACCGCGGTACCGGTAGCCTCAGCATTCTTAGCGTTATTCTCCTTGTCGCCATTCTCAGCGGCATCGTTCTCGTCGGCGCTAGTCTCGCGGTTGAGGAAGCTGCTCTCCTTGACGGGGCTGCCGGTGGAGGTGACCTGTTGGCTGGTGTGAGCGTGCAGGCTGGGGTGGTGCTGGTGGGCGACGGTGCTGCCGCCGTTCTGGCCGTTGGGCGACGTTAGGTGGGGGATGTTCTCGGGGACGGGGTGCTGGCTGCCGACGCTGCCTGTGTCGACGCTGTCGCCCTTGCCCGCCTTCGACATGGCGTAGTCTCCGCTGTCGAAATACTTGCGCTCCTTCAGGTGCTTGGCGAAGTGGTCGGATTTCGACGGCAGCTTGCCGTACAGGCGGAAGAGGCGTTGCTCATCAGGGGTGAGCGACTGCGATAGAGGGAGTTAGCATCCATGTTGGTGGTATTTGTATGTGGGGTTATGTGCAGCGGTGTCATGTGGAACGATGGAGATGATGTTCGGTAGTGTAGTAGAGACAAAGACGTGAGACTTAAATCTCGCCATAGTAAACCAAATATTAGGATGATAGGCTTAGTTCCGTCCGTCGTATCGTCTACCCCCCCTGGTTTGGGTACAGTAAGTGGGCATCCAACCCAACAAGGAGTAGAGTAGATGGGTGTGGTGGGGAGGAATGTAAGTGTGAATGGAAAACTGACCTTGACGTCAACCTTGTTCTTCTGGTGAGGGTTCATGGTGAAGTACGCGAAGGTCGCCTCGATCAAAGGAACAAGTCTTTAACAGACGGGTTTCTCAGTGCCGTTGGGCTTGCGAATGGACGGTGGTGTTGAGAAGAAAATGTGGTCGAAAGAGGGTGGGAGGTTTCGTCGTAGTTTCGTCGTAGTTTGTATTGGAAGTTCGTTTTGGGGGAGGGGAGCAAGAATACCTAAGCCTAAGTGCCCCAGTGTATCTTTCAAGTACAACGAGGTAGGTTAGGTACCTAATTACCTATCTAACATTAAACCTAACCTCACTTAACTGACTACCGATATAAGTAACGGCAGGTGTAGGTGGTGGGATGGCTGACTACCGCTACGATTGGGGGGTGACGGAATTGTACCCGCTAGCGTTGCTCTTAGTTAAGACAAAGACCCAATTATAAGCACAAGCCGCTTAAGTAAGGACAAAGTACCACAAAGTATTCAGATACCACTGTTTGTATCTATGTAGTGCTTGTATCTGAGCATGTCGCAGCACGATGTGACCTATAATATCCGGAAGTTGCCGCCCTCCCAAACTCTCAAAAAGGGTTCGAAGAATAATCAGGGTCCAATATGCAACTTCGAATTGTTTGTTTATTAACATACGACAGTTATTAATCGATTCGGAGCATTTTCATCCTTGCATTCATACCCTCTTTCAACCTACCTATCAATCAATTCAACTCTGTCTTACCTCGTTGACTCTGCCCACCTTTATGAGTCAGTTCCTGAGCATCGTCGCCATGGCAGCCCATCTTCATTAATACCGCTGATTAATACCAGGGCATCTATCCAACACATCCATGACGACGGCCTCGTAAGGACTGACTGCGTGGAAACCGTTCGACAGGTCTGATCCGACGTCGTAGTCACCACCATCCTACAGCAAACTGGTCACACCTTATATTGGTGATATTGCGGTCGGACCAGCAACTCCTTATCTAGAAAACGTCGTGATCTGACGAGCAACTCATGGCACCAATCAGGGACTCTACTACAGGAACACAACAGCAACCCACGTTGCTTTCTACCTTGCTAGATGAGGGATGATAACGAAATATGATTATTGACTGATAGGATAGTACCGGCGGTATGTTTATGCAGTAGGTAATGTGATACGAAACTCCTCATCTATTAGTTGAGCCCCAAAACTGAACAGATATCTGGTGGCGATGGTAGTATTATTACCGCTCCTCCTTTATAGTTCATTTAAGTTTATGCAAATAGACTTGTTTATAAGACAGACCGGCTGTTTGAGACATAGTATGAAGTTACTTTCTGTCCCTACCTATTTCTCAAGAATCATAAGTATGCTTGACAGCCCGTTTACAGATATTAGTTAAATACGATCCCATACTAGTTTATTGCTCAATTAATAGTTTACGAGTAGTCTGACTTTCCTTCTTTTATTCTAAAATTCTAGTATCATTTGTACATATCAAACACTCATTCTTGAGTACAAGTCTTCCAAAGAGAGCTTCTCTACTAGCAGTTCCCTTCCTTCCCTTTCTCTTCAACTTTCCCCAGCCGCGAACTTATATCCTACTTCGTCTCAATTTTATTCAATATGCTGTAATGAGAGGAGGGATAGTTGCTCTAAGTGGTCGCCAACGTGAGAGTAATACTAATCAGCTGTTTCGATCCGCTCTTTAAAGCATATCGGGCAATCCCTTGCGGTTATCCGGACATTGGCCTGGTCGCCTATGTTGATATCGTCCTGATTATTTTCTGGGACTTCTCCATTGTGATCTATCGTCATATGGGCTTGGATTTCCTCAATGCTACTAAAAGTTTCAGGACACCTCGTAACACAGCACCGTTGCCCCCAGTGGACTTGTTTCATATGAAAAGCCCAATCGGAGCGGCGTGAGAATTGGTGATCGGCGGTAGGGCAAGGCTCGAGACATATATAAGGCTTTAGGTCCCCCTAGACATGTTCCCTACACATATATAAGTACGGTAATTTAGATGAGAAAAAATTAGATGATAGTGAATATGCATACTCCCGCTCTCCCCTTGACTGTACTTCGATCATAAGAAAGCACAATTTGCACATAAATGGACCGTCAATATACTCCTCAGGCACTTGCGGAACGTTCAGTCGGTCCGGTTTGCCGTTAGGAGTGGCACATGAAGTTCCAGAGATCTTTGATGCAGCGACTGAATCTTCGATCGAATTACTTAGTAGATTTGAATCCTTTCTAGAACCTCTGAGGTGCTAAAAGGCTGGTGAAGTGACTGTTCTCGCATTGTCGAACTTATCATTGGCGCTAGCATCACCCTCTAGGCCTCCAGAAACCTCACTGTAATGATTCTCCCAGTATTTCAAGTACTGCCGGCGCCATATTATTGATTTCTAAAGCCTTTCGACAAGTCTGTAGTCTAATAGCGGGAATCTGTCTATCACAAGGCGAATATCCTGTTGTTCGTAGTCGGGTTGATCGTGTTGAGCTGGGTTGGCAATGGTGATAGACAGCTTAAGAAAGCAGTCAAGTACATGGCCCATATCTCGGAGGACAAGATCAATTGTAGGCTTTTTCAACACATTGTCTTCCAGGAAAGAATCCTCCAACTCTTCATCGATTGGGTCTATAGGTCCATCTTCGAAAATACATTCCTTCGACTCTGATGAAGTAGCTAGATTGCTTTCAGCGAAAAATGTTGTCGTAATGTGTAAAAGCCTTCCACCTCCGACGGGTACCTATAGTACATCAGCCTCAGAAACGGAAATCCTAGTTGGGGGCGTCCTAACCTTGTCTTGGATGCCGCTGACGCGATGTCTTCATGCTGGGAGGGTCACTGACCTCTGTAAAGCTGTACAAATAGAGGATCAGCAATCTGTGGGCTATTTTGGATACGTTCGGCACGAAAAACGCAGATTTTGGCTATATGCTTCTTCGACTAACCCATCACATCTCCGAAGGAAAATCACACTCCGGCAGACTATCGACGGGAGCCAAACGAGCTTGCCACCATTTTATTACCCTGAAATGATCAAGATAGCACTCACTCTTTCTATCAGTGTCTTACACCTATACGACACACCGTGGCTGGCAAAAAGATTGGATTAGATGACATTGTCTTCCACAGCGATGACACCCGATGCTCCCATAATGATTCTCCTTATCGCCCCTTTGTTATAAAAAGGTACACTTCAGGGGATACCTCTACAACCACTCAAAACAGCGGATTACTGAAAACGCAGAGGCCGGTTCATCTCGTCGTATTATCACTAGGGGCTTTACTTATACAACTAATCGTCGGAAAGGTAGTTGAGGAGCTTGACGTTATAGATGACATGGATGCGAAATCGATTATATCGAAGCGAGAAATAGGGGGGCGACTGGCAGATTGTGTTCTGGAACAGGGCGGTATGAATTATCTAGCAGCAGTTAACTGGTGTCTTGAAAGCGTATATACTGTATCAAACTTGCAGCATGATGGCTTCTGGCGGGATTTCTTTGAAGCTGTCGTTGCTAGACTGGAAGAGGACGTAAACTCATTGGGCACAAACTAGAACCAAGAGTGGTTTGGTGCGATAGATGAATATACTTGCAAAATCCGTACTGTATATTATTTACTATCAATTCTAAGACCAAGAACTTCAAGTATATGAAGACAAGGGCCAAAACTATGCAGGAAAAAGAAAATCGCTTTCCAGGTGTATAGGTGTAGGCCTCGTTTGATTGTGTCAATTATTACCCATATACTACCTCTTTTCGAAATTCATAAATGTCTAAGAGTTATGATTTTGATACTTCTTAGGTATTCACTATTTCAGCATGCGGAGTTAGCAGTTTGATCCCGGCGATAGGACTCACACCCTTTCCACTTTAGTATTTTGGCTCACGGAGTTTACCTAAACGGTTTGGTTACCGGTGATAAGCCATGTATAACGTTGATTTTGATATTTCATTATGTGGAGCTTAACACCTAAGTTACCGGTGATAAATTTTATATTCTCCCCCCCCCTATTTCGGTGTCTATCCGGTTTTATGAGCTTTCTCCGAATCATAATATCGAGTACGCCGGGCTGAATTGAGAAATACTAAGATCCTATTGGTAATTAATCTCTAATACCCGCGATATATGCTTTATAGTATTGTAGTAAACTTGTGATTATTATGAGAGAGCTCGTGTACGTCACTATCCCTACAACGCTTTCGTAGAATACCGTAAAGACATAAACTGGAATGTATTAGTTTTAAGTCCTATGATTTAACTTTTATTTATATTATTATTCCATCGCGTCTTATGTGAAGTTAGTGACGGTTATCCCTATTTAGGTACTCATGTCGTCCGGCTTTGTGGAGATAAGGAGCATGGGATCTATAGGAGGTAGTGATTGAACAACACCGTATGAAGAAAGAAAACCAACCTTTGGAAACATCATGCCATAGTATCAAAGACCTCACGGAGATATTCGTAAGGGATATAATCCTTAAATGGGAAATGCTTGCCGCAGACTAATCGGAGAAACTTTGAATATATCCGATCATCGCCGGCTGAGGTAGAACGGCCATTCTTATATAAGGCTTCCAAGATCCGGTTTATGAGCTTGAGAATATGTCCAGAATCATCTGTCTCTTCACCTTTTCTATAATCTCAATCTCACCTTCATCTTAACTTTCACTATGGCATCCGACCTTCCCACCGAACATCGCGCCCTCGTGCTCGAGGCCATCGGCGAAGGCTTCAACCTCAAGAACATCCCAACCCCCCAGCCCGGCCTGGGCAAAGCTATCGTCAAAATAACTGCCGCCGGTATACTTTCTTACCACCGCGAGATCTATAGTGGTACTCGCTACTACAACTTCCCCAAGCCAATCGTAGGCGGTATCAGTGCCATTGGCCGCATCGTCGCCGTCGGAGCCGACGCAACTCTCCTAAAGCCAGGTCAGCTTGTGTATGTCGACTGTGTGATCCACTCGCGCGATAACCCCAACGATCTGTTCCTCACAGCTATTCACGAGGGTCTAAGCGAGGGCAGCAAGAAGCTGATCCGCGACGTGTGGCGTAACGGGTATTTCGCTGAGTACGCCCAAGCGCCCCTGGAGAACTGCTTTGCCCTTGACGAGGCGAGATTGTGTGGTGAACTAGGCTACACAGTCCCGGATATCTTGTATAGTTGCCACATGCTTGTTGGGTTCGGCGGATTCCGGGATATTGACCTGAAGCCTGGCGAAACTATCATTGTGTGCCCGGCCACTGGGGGCTATGGAGGCGCGGCTATACAGACAGCTATTGGTATGGGAACAAGAGTCATCGCCTTCGGCAGAAACGAGAAGGAGTTAGCCAGGCTCAAGGAACATGTGCTAAGGGGCACACCAAACGCCAATATCGAGACGGTGAAGATGACCGGAGACGTGATGGCGGATGCGGCCGCGTTGCGGGCATTTGGCATTGTTGACGCTGTCCTCGATTTTACACCACCGCAGGCAGCTAAGTCCCAGCATGTCAAGAGTACCATCTTGGCTCTCCGTCGTGGCGGGCGTGTCAGCTTTATGGGCTGGAATGAGGATCCTATGGTCCCTACTGTCATAGGCATGGATATTTCCATAAAAGGGAAGCTGATGTACGATCGAGATGATATTGTTTTATTTTTTAAGATGTTAGAAAGGGGCTTATTCCCTCGCGGCAAGAATTTTGTGGACACGAAGCTCTTCAAGTTGGAAGACTGGAAGGAAGCTCTCGATGTAGCCGCGGAGCACATTGGTATTGGAAAATTCGTGGCTTTTGCCCCTTAAGATTGTGTCTTGGTCATTACGAGGACCTACTGGAGGTATGAAGGAATACATAGGCAAATTGATAGACTGATATATGCGGTTAGTATAGATAAACTATAAACACGTCTCTTCTCATTATTACTATTAATGTCATTATGTAATGTAGGATGTATCCCTTATGTTAAGGGTATAAGTGAAGTGAATCGTTAGTTGAAGCGTTTTATATGTGGGTAAGGGTCAAATAAAGCACATGAATCTAATTAATTTAAAATGCAAGATTTGATCTAGATCGTATTGAGTATTAATATAAATAGATCTAGCATCTAAGGCGATGCGATCAAGTACTCAAGAGCGACATAGCTAAAGGCAATAGGAGGTATACATGTGTTATTAGCCAACAACCTACAACGTAGCTTACTCAGCTTCAGTTTGGGACTTCCCTATTATTATATTGATATTACTGCGGTACCTATCAAGTATACTTCTGTAGTTAAAGACCTTTATAGTAGAAACGAAGTCAGTTCAGTACCTTGAGTCTACAGCACTCGAATAACCCAACGTACCACGCCACCCACCATGACTTTCGGCTACAGTTACCCGATATCTTTAAAATATTCTAAATACTGGCGAGCACGTAAAACCTTTAAACTACTATAAACTCTACCTAATATTGACACCCTACTGCTGTGATGTCCTATCTACAAGCTGGTGGATCCGGAGTCGAGCTCCATCACCGCCGAAAAGCCAGTAAGAAACGAATGTCCCTATCTCCACTCTGTACGAGTAAACCGACGGAGACCTCAAAAATTGCCTCCTCGTCGCTTTCGTTGCTCTTGGCAGAGACAACTATGCTTCCAGCTGAAAGCTGAGGTCAAAAGACGTGGCAGTAACACAGACCCTATCGCGGCTTTAGAACCCCTCGACCACGTAGTGCGTAATTTATACAAAGGCTACGATTCGTGAGTTATTTACCTGAAGCATCGTCCCTCCTGTGTGGATCGACGTCCATCTATCGAATAGCTAAGAGATCTGGCAGCGGGATCAACCTTATTTCGATTTTATCTTCAGCGCAGATCACTAGTACTCTATACTTAGGTCTCGTGTTGGTTGACAGCAATGCATAACTTGTGCAATGAGGAATAAGATTATGTTTACGTCGCTTTGTGAACCGTTCAACGTGTATTCGGAGCCGTAAGACAGCTTCGTTGAGTTGTGTAGGTATGAAAGTCGCCTTGATAATCGGCCCTTTGATATCTACTGCCAGTATCAAAACTAATAAATTTCCCAGCACGATGAAGTTACGAAGGAACCCGGCCCTAACAGCAAGTTCAGGAATATCGTTATCATTAATATTTCATTAATCTTCCATCGTGACGCTTGCTTGAAGTATTGCTTAGAGCTACCGTCATCATGAAGCTCTTACGACTTGGGCTCGTTGCCTCTAGTGTTGGACTCCCGTTCGCATTCGGGGCGATCCGCCGCGACCTTAACAAGAGGAATGTCGAAATAGCCCAGATTGACCATGACAGTCGCATCGATCAAAGAAGCCAGGAGATCCTCTTCAAAGAGGCCGACTCCGACTTCGAAGATGTTTTCCGGTGCGTCGGGGGTACCGGCAAGCGTCTCACATTCGACGCGGACCAGGTATTCGTGGCTTGCTGCGCGCCTGGCCAGAGACTGCTTGGGAGCGTCGATACCGCGTTTGACTGCTGTTCCGAGGGTCACGATTTAGTTGGGAGCGACCATACCGGCTATAGATGCTGTCCTATAGGCCAGTCCTACGACGGTATTAGATGTGGCTGGGTTTGCAGTGGTGGAAAGGTTATGGTGGATGGCCAGTGTGCCTGTCCGCTGGGCACGAGTCCGACCGCAGATGGTGGCTGCAGGGGACCAATAGGTTGCGATTCTGGCATCACTACCGGTATGTGCTAATTAATTCTCGCATATTTTATCATAACCGCAGAGAAATCTAATCGCTCAATAGGAAAATGCTACGCCTTCAAGATGGAAACCGGGCATACATTCGGCTACGACAGCATACAATTACACTACAGCGCAGCCGACCACTCCAGCCAGCACCGTATCGGGCGCTTTAAGATCTGCGGGAACGAAATCTGCACCATAGGCCGCGCCGTGAACCCCAACGACCCCGTACATATCAAAGACGTGCAGGGGACCGCGCACCAGAGCTCAGAAAGTCAAGGGAGTCAGTGGCTTAATGGGGCCTCGGACGGGAACCATATTGGACGAACCTCTTTATATGGCGATTCCGGTGTGTTCACACTTACAAAGTGGTCATGCGGCAAGTACTGTCTTGGAGGCTTCGGGAAAGGAATCAGCTACGCGTTCCCGAGCGAGACCCCTTCGATCACATTTACCTTGGACAGACAGGCATGCACACCTATCGAGATTATCGAAGTGCCCTGCGATATCCATAAAGTCGAGAATAATTGCATGTGGGAGAAGGTACCTGGAAGCTGTGGTCCAGGGGATAGTAACAGTTGCCGCTGTTCTAAGAGTTAGAGGTTCTACTTGCAGTTTATATAGGGGCATTTGGTTGGGTTCGGGTTATTATGCATTGGTGATTCATGGCTGGAGTCTGGCTTGGTTGATTGGATTTGGGGTCTATCTTTTAAGATTTTCATTTGGGTAATTATCTAGCATTATTCTCTCCGGTAAACAATAGCATATTATAGTTGAAGGACTATTATACACTTATCTAGCATACTCGTTAAATAGATCGTAGCTTACAGCTACTGGGTACCTATAATAATCAACAAGCCTTAAGATATGAAAGGGGGTTCATTGGACATCTGAGTCTGCACTACCTCGGATAAAGTTAAGGGGAAAGAAGCCTTCAATGAGTAATAGACTTGGCCTTAATTTAATTACGCAAAATGATGGCATGGAGTCATAGTTATTACGCTAATACCAAGATACACTCCTATAGACGATAGTAGTTTATAACTTGCGCTTGTTTTAGAGTAGTATATAGACAATGTGATGGCGAAATCAAACAAGCTGTCTATGGCGTTAGATCCTGTAATTCACTTCTGTCCAGTTCTATATAGACTACCTAAAATAAGCCTCTTACGTCAAGTACCTTACGGGATTTCAACGCGAATCTTCAATAGTGAATTACAACATGAGGTTAGCTCGTTTGTTTGGCTTCCCCTCTTCATGACGTGATTGCTAGTGTCCTATCTGAGAGACCGAATGGAAGCTTTAAGCCCTAAATTAGGCCGCAAATTACGACTATAGCACGTTATATCGTCGTTGAAGCTCAACTTTATACTAGTATCCTATATTATAACGTCTTTGATAGTCTTCGGGATCTTACCTACTAAGCTTGGTTCCTCCTCTAGCCCGAAAAATTACTTGGAACCGCGATAGAAGTACTATCTAAATTCACAATCTCATCATACACTTGAGAGGATGATCGAGTGGCAACATTTAGGATAAGCGTAGTTAAGGATAGCATATTGTAACCCTCGTCTTGTATACCTAAGGTATTTGACAGTACTTCATGATAGTGCTAGCAAGTGACAACGAGAGCAACGGCAAAAAGACGAGTATCCACTTACACGCCTTTCTAGGTTGGAATCCCTATACAGATGATTGATCGGTACCTACCTAGGTAATCTCTAGGTAAACTTATCGCGTGTAAACATACTAGGCAAGTTTTCAAGGAAGATGTATCAACACTTTCAGATTCTGTTTAATAATAGGAGATATAAATACTAAGTGAAACCCACCTAGACTTCTTGTCGTTCGCCGGCTAGGCCCGATTATGCCAAATAAATAGTTAAGCATATATGATTACGAGTCCTAGTACGTTAGACTGCCGGTGAAGTCATGATCTAGACTTTATTAAGCATGGTCTAATGGTTGATCCCTCGGGAGGCGTTCAATAAGGGTCGGTATCTCCGTGGGACGAGGAGTATTGGCGGGAGCTAATATGTAACCTAGATGAGTATGGGGCGTGGTAGCAAATGCAGGTACTCTGTAGCATACGAAAGAATATTATTAGGTAAGTGAGTTATTTGTTTGTTGGACTTATGTCGTGTGCCGTCTTGGAGACCCCCTCGCCAAGGAGATGTTATGGGACGATAATCTGCGTGGATAGAGAGATGAGCAAATACTAAGGTATAAGAAAAGCTATGCTTTACCTCATAGTTATCAGATCTTCTAGGTTACATCTCGATGGAGACTCAGCTCATGAATATCCTTCATCCTCTTTCCCTATCTGTATGTACGTGTTTACTTCAGCTTGGATTAAGTCTAGGCCATGAGTACTTCTTAGATCTAATGTGTGAATGGAAGCTAAGATCTGGATCCGGTCTATTGGAAAAGTTGGAAATTCATCGCTGTGACGATGTTGGTTCCAGAAGTTGGGGGTCCCATATGGCAATTTGTATGTACCTAGATATGTCATTGTATCTATCGTACCGACCCTTTCACATGATGGATATAATTTCTATTGGTTCATGATTGGATCGAGGCTGAGAGCTGGGCTCGTAGCTCTGACCCCCTAAACTCATGGCGCAATAAGAACTACCTGTCTTGGTATAAAAGTGACAAGGAACATGAATTTTAGTAGACATTTAGTAGAGATTTTGGTATCACAACCCGCATAATCCCTGTTACAAGGGCGCGCACATCATCGGAGACCCACATCTCGCCATCTACAAGAGCTCTCGTTCGTCCAACTGAAGCCATAACGGCCATAACTGGTCCTCACCAAGAAAATACATGAGAGTAAATCCTAATTGCACAATGCTCCTTCTTCGGTGCGCGATCCAGAATCGTCAATCTTCGTCCGGGGGTTATCCATTTCTTCGGCCCTTTCTCGCCTGCAGATATTCCCGTTGTCAATTATATTAAATACGACCGCATCATGCAGTTCATTCCACCTCCCTGGAGAGCACGTTGATGGCATTTGCTCTAGCTTGGTTATATTATATGACCCTTTGCAAAGTCAATTTCCATCAGTAGTCGATATCTGGACTTGGGCTGGTGTGTTGCGTTGTAATCTTACCGATTTACAGCGTAGCTTTATACTGAGGACCTTCAAGGGGCGCGCCCCGACATAACCTTCGGGTTCATATTTGGTACCTACTGTATAAGACTGAAATATGTCTTCTACTTTAACCAAAGTAGGCCATGGCTTTGCCTGGTTCTTTAACCTGAACCTCGACCCTTACGGGCAACGTGAGGCTGAGCGCATCGACTCGAGAGACGCGTCTCAAGCTCATCCTAATGTCGAGCCTTACGACGAAAAGGACCCGACCGCGGTCGACTGGCTCGTGAGTGTTACACCAACGCCTCGAGGGATCTTCCAATATTTCTACCGCCTATTCCCGTTTCTTCACTGGATTACCAGATACAATCTGACATGGTTTATCGGTGATCTAATTGCTGGTAAGCTTAGGATCTACCCCTCTACCGCACGGGCAATACTGACATAATCCGGCTTTAGGTATCACGGTCGGTGCCGTAGTCGTGCCTCAGGGCATGGCTTACGCATTGCTTGCGGAGCTTGAGCCTCAATATGGCCTCTACTCATCCTTCATGGGTGTCCTTATCTATTGGTTCTTTGCAACTTCTAAGGATATCACAATCGGAGTATGTCACTAAATTTCATGGTATCCTTGGTCCGTTGTATTAAAGATATGCTTTGCTAACCCCTCCCGAAGCCTGTCGCGGTCATGTCGACTGTCACCGGTGACATTGTCAACAGAGCAGAGGCAGCTATCCCTGATGTTCCGGGTCACGTTGTGGCATCTGCGCTCGCTGTCATTGTCGGTGCTATTGTGTGTTTCCTAGGGTTGGCACGGCTTGGTTGGATTGTCGATTTCATCCCTCTGCCTTCGATTGCTGCCTTTATGACTGGATCCGGAATCAGCATCGCGGTCGGACAAGTACCCACGATGATGGGCATGAACAGCAAAAAGAAGCGATTTTCGACACGAGATCCTACTTATCTGGTTATCATCAACACCTTGAAGAACCTCAAATACACCACTATCGACGCTGCTATGGGTCTCACAGCTTTACTCATGCTGTATATCATCAGGGGAACTTGCACGTATCTAGCTAAGAAGTATCCTCACCGAGAGAAGACACTCTTCTTCGTCTCCACCCTCCGGACTGCTTTCGTCATATTGCTGTATACTGGAATTAGTGCCGGTGTCAATCTTCACCGCCGGAGCAACCCTCTTTTCAGTGTTCTCGGCGAAGTTCCTCGAGGTAAAGAATACCACTTACATGATATATCTATTGTTTAGTGCGTGGCTAATAAATGTAGGATTTCAACATGCTGCGGTTCCCAATCTCGACCCCAAGATTCTCTCCTTCTTTACCTCCGAGCTTCCCGCAGCCGTCATCGTTGTCTTGATCGAACATATCTCCATCTCGAAGTCGTTCGGTCGTATTAATAACTACGTCATCGACCCTTCGCAGGAACTGGTCGCTATTGGTGTCAGCAACCTCTTAGGTCCCTTCCTTGGTGCATATCCGGCTACTGGATCTTTCTCCCGCACTGCTATTAAGGCTAAATCCGGTGTGCGTACGCCATTCGCCGGTGTCATTACTGCGGTCGTCGTGCTCCTTGCTCTCTACGCGTTGACGGCCGTCTTTTGGTATATCCCCCAAGCATCTCTAGCCGCTGTAATTATCCACGCAGTCTTAGACGTTGTGTCTCCACCGAATGTCGTGTACCAATTTTGGAGAATCTCCCCCTTGGAGGTTATCATCTTCTTTGCTGGAGTTTTGGTAACTATCTTCGACGGTATTGAGGATGGTATCTACACCACAGTTTGCATATCCTTTGCCGTCTTCGTTTTCCGCCTATTCCAGGCAAAGGGACGGTTCCTCGGTGTCGCTACGGTTCGAACTATTGGGGACTTAAGATCCGACAGCCGTACTAGCTCAAGCCAGACCTTGTCTCAGGATCAAAAGACCCCCTTAACGTTGAGGGAAGGCCACATTTCAAGCGAGCGCAATCTATTTATCCCGCTAGATCATGAGGATAACTCGAATCCTCGCGTACCCGTTTCTCATCCCTACCCTGGCGTGTTTATCTACCAATTTTCGGAGCTATTTAACTATCCGAATGCAACTCGCTTCTTGGATGGGCTTACGGCAGGAATTTTCAAAGCGACGCGAAGGACTGATCCAGAATCTCTCGGAAAACTAGGTGTAAGTCTGATATCCCTAAGTCTCTATTTACATTCGCTAATGTTACGCTAGGACCGTCCCTGGAATGACCCCGGTCCTCGTAAGGGCAAGGTTGTTGTGGACGATACGGCAGAGCGACCTACTCTTAGAGCTATCATTCTGGACTGTTCCGCCGTTAATAATGTAGACGCGACTTCAGTTCAAGCCTTAATCGACGTGCGTAACCAATTAGATAGGTATGCCCAACCCGACACGGTCGAGTGGCACTTTGCCAATGTTAGGAACGCTTGGACTCGTCGCGCCCTTGTCGCCGCTGGTTTCGGGTTCTTGCAACCTAAGGGAGACGCTGAAGCTGGCCATCGCTGGAAATCCATTTTTAGTGTCGCCGATCTGGCAGAAGCCGCATCACCACTTTCTGGAGAAAGTCACCTTGGAGAAAAGGGGGCGGTCGAGAAGCGCACGAGCCATGGCGAC